CGGGAGCACACCGGTCCGAGCGGGCATGAAGGGAGGGGGGCCGGCGGGGAGAGAGGGTACGGGGGCCGCGTGCTCGGGTGTAGGGGTAGGAGAGACGGAGGTCGCGGGGTACGGGCGGCTGCTCGCCCCTTGTGTATTCGCAGCACACATTTCTACCAGTGCTCTGCAGGCTGGGAGGAGTTTAGCGGCTGCCATATCTCGGCGGGAAATGTTATTAAAAAGCTTATGACCGACTGTGTCCCAGAAATCTCTAGTGAAAAAATGTTTTTAGTTCTCGTTTAGGCAAATTACTTTGGCTGGCTTTCAGTAAGAATTTTAGTTGCTTCTACAGCTTTTTGTCTGGGCTTGAACGGTTCTGACCCGTGATAGACTGGTTTGTGACTCACCTCTTATTTAACTGATGTTGCCTCGTCTGTCAGAGCTCGGGCGATGGGTGCTGGCCAGGCACCTCCCGTCCGTTCTCGGGTGTCACTTAGTAATACTCGCACATAACCATGCTGCAGAGTCGTCTAAAAGCTACGGTTTGGACACTGCAGCAGAAAGCTTTGAGAGAGATCCGGGTGCAAATGCTGTGGCAGCGTTTGCCCCTCGCTGGACCACGTAGAGGCTTTCCCCGCCCAGCCCAGGTGGGACGTCGCCTTGCAACGCCCCCCTAAGCTCCACGGGGGCTCCACGGAAACCAGGGGTTCAGACGCTGCCTGGCAACCTTCACCCCAAATAAACCACGCAGGGGGGGTGTCCCGTGTAGCACAGAAGAGACGTGGCTTCGCCACACCTCTCAGTGCCACGGGGCCCTGCGGAAACCAGGGGTTCAAATGCTGCTCTGCGACGTGCACCCCGAAAAACCCACGCAGGGGGGGTATCCCGTGTAGCACAGAAAAGATGCGGCTTCGCCACACTTCTCATTACCACAGGGCCCAGAACTCATCCTGCACCCTCGGCACTCATCCTGCACCCTCGGGATGGTGCTGAGCACCCTCGGGATGGTGCTGAGCACCCTCGGCACTCATCCTGCACCCTCGGGATGGATCCAGCACCTTCTGGAAGGCGCTCAGCACCTTCTAGACGGTGCTCAGCACCCATGGGATGCATCCTGCACCTTCTGGAAGGCTCTCAGAACCTTCTAGACGGTGCTCAGCACCGTCGGGACGCATCCAGCACCCTCTGGAAGGCGCTCAGCACCCTCGGGATAGATCCTGCACCTTCTGGAAGGCGCTCAGCACCCTCAGGATGCCTTCTGGAAGGCGCTCAGCACCCTCGGGAAGAATCCAGCACCTTCTGGAAGGCGCTCAGGACCCTCAGGATGGATCCAGCACCTTCTGGAAGTGTTTCAGGACCCGCAGAATTATCTAGAACCTCAGCACTGCTCAGGACCCGGCAGGATAGTCTAAAACCCCCAGGGTGGCTCCAGAAACTTTTGGAAGTCTTTCAGGAACCTTTCTTGGACCTTTGGACCCAAACCTGCACCAATCTCCCTCCTTTTTATTCCCTTTTTACCCCATTTTTACCCCAAATTTTTTTCTCTTTTTTTTCTTGTTTTTGACCCAAATTTGGCCTTATTTGAGTCTTTGGGCCTCTTTGGAATCGAATCCGGACGAATTTTGGGATTTTCACCCATTTTTGCCCCAAATTTTGTCTCTCTTTTCCATTTTTCTCCCAAATTTTCTCCTTTTTCCCACTTTTCCACCAAATTTTGTTCTGTTTTCTGCTATTTTTTCTTCCAATTATCTTTTTTTTCCAGTTTTTAGCCCAAATCTTCTTTTTTTTTCACTTTTCCCTTTAATTTTGTCTCTTTTCCCATTTTCATCCCAAATTCTCAATCACTTTTCTGGGAGCAATCCTTGAATGAATTGAATTTTGAAGGTGGAATCCAGATTTTGGCCATGTTTAAGGTTAGGGTTGGTTATGTGCCATCACAAATATCTAAAATTTCCACTCTGAATAATTTTAGGATCTCTCAGGGACAAGGTTGGCCTTTGAGGGAAAACAATTCTGCAAACAACTTTATTTAACCTTAACCTTTTCCTCCCAACACCTACTGCTATAGTGAAACACTTTTAATGTTGAATAGTAAATTAATAGCAATACCAAATCCAGCACACCCTGTACAGGTGTATCTGATCGCAATCTTAGAAAACTTTTTCTAATATTTTTATAGAATTAGCCTTCCTTTCATTAATATCACTAAAATTACTTTTAAGGAGTCACTGCTTTTCTGGCCTGCTACTTTGTAAGCAAACCCAGCAAAGGTACAACAGCCATCAAGAGCAGCATTCAAAAAAACGCTTACATACTGCACATTTTGAAGCAGCACCTTCATCTCTGCCTGCCGCTCCCCTGCTCTGCTCCTCGAGCACTGCGCCCGCGGAGGCCGAGGCTGCGTCCCGAGTGTGGAGCGCCGGCGCCCGCCCCGAACTCCAACTCCCAGCAGGCAGAGGGGCGCTCGGCCCCGGAAGGGGATGGAGCCGTTCGTCCCGCGGCCGTTGCAGCGGAGAGCTGGGGCTCGCGCCGGGCCGAAAGGGCGGTGAGTGGGAGCGGCTGCTCCTCCGGAGCTGCTCAGGGGGATGTGGTACCGCTCCCTGCAGCGGGCTGTCCCCAGCCGGGGAGCCGGCCTGCAGCGGAAAGGCAGTGCCTCACTGTTTTACTCAGAACAGCCCGAGAGGCCTTTTCGGTTGCAGTATCTGTTTTGTACGTGAAAAGCGGGAATTGGCCGCTGGCTTCAAGCGGCAGGTGTGTTTCCCTGCCCTAGGAAATTGCAAGAAAAGCATCATTTTGGCCATGTACAAGACTCATGAAATTCTAAATCCACACGGAATTAAATGTCGTGTTCTTTTAAGATTTCCCTTGGCTACCCCCACTGGCTGAGTACTTTTGAAAATTTAAGTAATCCATCTTTAGTTTTGCTACTTTGGAATGATGCTGGGGCAACAGTTAGTTTCTGTGAGTTATATAAAAATTTAGACCTAAAGCATGAGGTTTGATTCTCTAGTTTTAAGTATTCATCTCATTGCAGGCTGGTCTCGCATAACGCTGCAAAGTCATACGCGGTTTTTTGTAATTTGTCAGATGATGATAGAAACATTAGGTAGTGCAATAGATAAGAAAGTTAAGGTTTCTTGAATTCCAGTAACTATAAAATTCTTGCTTATACCTAACTGGAAGTTCTTACAAGGTAATTCTAGAGATGGAAAACTTTCCTCTCTTTGTATGTGAGGTTCTTTTCTCTTATTTTTGATTAACTAAAGTGCTGAAGTGACTGTATGCTAACTTTTCTTGGAAATAAAATCTGATTTAAATTTTTAAGGTTCGGCATAGCCTTTGGATCTGTCCAGGTATCAACTGTTATTTTATTCTAAATTTTAGTGGTGAAAAAACAAAAGATTGAAATCAAGACTTACTTGTTGGAAACTGAACTTCCATTAATTCTTTTTGTTCCTTTAGGACAAAGCCATATGGAGATTAGTTTATGGTAGAGAGCTTGCTGGTAGAAGAAAGGCATGACTTAGGCAGTAGTTTTGATAATAAAATTACGAGATATTTTATGGAATGTCTGTAGATTATACTATGTCATTTCTGTCTTCTGATGCAAGTCTTTAACATCACTATTAATATGCCAATGGATTCCTAGATATTTTTGGATTCTAAGGATTTATAGGTGCTAAGGATTTATAGCACCTTAAGAGTGTAGCAATGTGGGGGGAAAGGCCGTCCTAAGGACTTCCTGTGCCTCCTTTTCATGTTGTTTCAGCATTCCTTAATTCTCTGTCCAGCATTTCATTTTCTGCACTGAAAGACAAGAAAGAAACAGCAGCATCTTCATATATTATAGCAATTAATACTTTAATTAATACTTTCCTAATCTCACTTTGTTATGTAGCTGAACTTTCTTTTGTCTCAAAAAAGAAAAGTGTTTGGATTTATGATTTATCATTGATAGGAGTGCCTCTGTTTTAAAAAGTAATTTCTCTTAGGACACTGATTGAAAGTAGATGAAGAGATTGGCAGGTAACACTGAAATGGCTCTATAACCCCCAGTGCCTTGTTTCAGAGTCCTATTCAGAATGTGGAAGATGGCATTACTCACCTACCAGTTGATGGCTTAAGATTTGACCAGAGCTAAAATGAACAAACAATTAAAAAACAACCAACCAACCAAACCAAAAAAAAAAAAAAAAAAAAAAAAAAAAAAAAAAAAATAATCCACCAAGAAACCAGAAGAAATCCCCTCAGGTCCTCCTCCAAAATCCACTTGGAAATATGGCCTTAGCCCAAAGATTGCTGAAGACAACAGAACTAGAACTTTAAAAGCTAATGCATTCTGCATGCATTAAATACAATTTGAGCTACTGCATAACCAGATAAACCATATTTTGTGCATGGATTAAAAATGGCATAATGTTAAACTTGAGGGTTTGGTTGTCCTCTGAGGAATTCAGTCAAGATAGGAACATTTATAATAATGCATGAGTGTGTCATTCCAGTGAATGTCGTTACTTTTGCCATCATTTTATATGATGTTTTGTAGTTCATTTTAGTCTCACAGTTCAAATTGCAGGTAGAGAAGTATTTGAATTTTGTTATCCCTAGATAAGCCATGCCTGTTTCAGCTGATGAAACTGTGGGGAACCTAGCTGTGAGGGATACAGTCCCAACTCCAGCTGGAATTGAAGGATTACAAGGTTTGTACCAGATGCTATTTATTGCAATTACAGACTTCAATCAGTGGTTTCCTTCGCTTCTTTCTAGAAATGTTTCACAAAATGAAGTTCAAATACCATTCAAAGTCTGGGTTATATTTTGGAAGGTACTGTGACTCATTCTATGTTCAAGTAGGTTGTTAGAAGAGAGAAGTTGCTCTGAGATGCTAAAAACTGGAAAACTCATCAAGCTGAAACGTTCATCCTTCCAGAAAGAGAATGCTTTTTTGCTGAATTGAGGGCAAGGTCAGATCCATTTAACAAAATAGGAACCAAAAGCACTATGCAATTCTTGTATGTTACTCAGCTTCCATTAGAATGGAACTTCTGGGCTTAGTCTTTCATTTGAGTTCTTTTTCACAACTGTTGTGAGTTAGTTCTTTCAAGCTTCAATATAGTATGTTCACTTTAAAACAGATTAGAAAGCATCTCAATTATGATGCTCATCCTATTTTTTTATTAGTATGTTTGACCATTCCTAGTGCTTGCTAAATTGTTATCTTTGCATTGCTTGGTAGGTAATCATCATTTGAACTATGTTTTCTGGGTTTTTTTGCTCTCTAAGAGGAAGGAAAAAGGAAGTGGTTAACCTGCCAATAAGTCTGAGGGAATTAATGAATAGACTAAAACAAGTGTAAAAAATCAAATTACTTGAAAATTTTTGTTAATTTTTTAAAATAATTTCAAAATGAGTTAGACTTTGAATTATACATTGTTGAATGTGTTGAAGGTAATTTAAAGTTGCCTTGTTTTGGGTAGAAATATCATCTACACAGAATGTAAAAGCTCGACAGGTCATATCACGAATCAGTCGAGAGGAGCTGGAAGACAGATTTCTTCATCTACGTGATGACCACATCCTACTCAAACAGTATGCAAATAAGCAAGAGGAGAAAATTAAAAGGTATGGAGTTTAATATTTTTATTTTAACTCATGGTACCTTTTTGTCCTTTTAAAGCATCATCAACAAATTAAAAACCATGCCGATTTCTCTCAGAGCACTTTTAATGCAGTAGCAAAAATCACCCATTGGATGTGATTTTTTGTATTGATTTGTAGTTGTCTCTGAGTATCTGAGATGGTTTTTTTTTTTTTAATAGGCAGTGTCCCCTATTAGATCTTCATGTACAGAGGTACACTGCTGTCTACTACATCAGACATAATATCTGGGATTCCCAGCTGTGCTGGTGGAGTATTCTGAGAATTGGAGAGCAGGCTGTGGAAGCCTAATGGTTCATCAGGAGTGTAATTCTAGAATCAAATGGTCTAAACAGAGAGATTCTGCCCCTTTTTTGGTTCCCGTCTGTCTTTCAAGAAGTTGAAGAGCATCTAGCTTTATATTGGTGAATTAGCACTAAAATATCTTTGTCGTCATCAGTCCTTTATTCAGTAGATAAATAGATAACTTCAGTGACGAAGTCCCAAGTATCTTGAGGAGCACAGTACCCAGTTTTCTCACAAATATACAAGCAACTTTAGGTTGATTATTAATAATCACACTAAAGATTTGTGTGCTAATCTTTGCCAGGACTTAGTGTAGCACCAAACCGATTTGGACAGTGCAGAACTGTTTGTAGTATTATGATATTGCAGGAGGGCTGAACGCCATGACTCTGTGTTTGCATTGTGCTAATTGTTAATAAAGTCTTTCTGCATCTAAGCAAGTTTCTGGTGAGGAACTAATGAATTCATCAAAAGGTAGTTGAAAATATTGCCTATTTCATACTTTAAAGTACAAAACATTATTTTCTTTTGACTCAGTATTCAGTGAGCCATAGTCCAGTTGACCAACATTACATGATTTCCATCTTTTCTATCAGACTGTTGTCAAATACAAGACTGTAGATTAAATTAATTGTTACGTTATTTCATGGCTTCTGTGCACAGGAAATACCACTCATCATCCACTTACACCAGGTGGGTGTACTCATAGTCCACTTAGGTAGAATTACACACAGTATAAATGTGTCCTTCCTTTACTAACCTTAAATGATAAGTCTTAGGAAACTGTTATTTGACAGTGCTATAAAACAGATTTCTGCTCAGTGGTTTCAGTTATCTTCAAGGAGTTCGTCACAGGCACAGTAGCTATGTCAAAATATGTCAAAAAAAAACTTGACAAGGTTCTGTGCTGAAGTCTTCACAGTAGTTATGTTCCTTTCAACAGAATACTTTTTATGCTGATTTTTCTCATTATTGTCGATATTTTTTGATTGTTTTCCCCAGAATGACCACCAAGTTAATACGGCTTGTTAATGACAAAAGAAAATGTGACCAGGCTGGCTGTGGACCCAAGCGGCTGGGTCAGGCTCTGGAGATGGAAGAAATGATTGAGCATTTGCGAGAAAGAGTTTGTGAGCTTGAGAAACAAAATGAGAGCCTCCGCAACAAACTCATTTCAACTAAACAGCAGCTCCAGATTCAAGGCCATAGACCTTGTCCATACAGCTCCATTCAGTCTCGTGTGAACACTGGTCTCAAAAAAGAGAGTGAGGCTGCTGGCATGCCAGAGCAGACCAAGAAGGGTATAATTCCCATTTATTAAAAACAGCAAACTCTTTGATTGTTCTTGAAACCATGAGTCTGAATTTCAGAACATTTTTAGTGCAGATCAGAAAATATGCAGAGCAATTATCCAAAAATAAAATGCCTGGAAAAAATAAGAATAAATCAGCTGTCTCCATGGTATTAAGAGACAAGAAAACTCTACAAATAATAAATACAGCTTCCTTATATTTTACATATATATATATATATATATATATTTACTTTTTGTTTGTCTGATTTAAAAATACCATGGAAAGCTCATCCAAAAGTCCTAATCAGGTATGAATGTTCTGTAAATACTTGCTTTCTTTATTGAGTGCAAACATCTAAGAAATACTTTGATTTGAACAAATGTAAACAAAAAAAATTTGTAGGCATATATATGTGTGTATATATATGTGTGTGCATATATATATATGTATACACACATAAGCATACACATACATAAAAGCACACAGACACACAAACATATATATGTATGTGTGTATGTATGTATCACAATTACCAGTACCTTAAAATAACACTTAAAGATCAAAATTCAAAATAGGTTAAGTTAATACAGCAAAGTAGTTACATTATTTTTCAGGCATTTTGGGAAATTGCTGGTATCATTGTACCTTGAACAATGGTGAAGTTCTGGGGATTGAGGCAGTGTTAATACTGTCTTTGAAATTACATGGCCCATCTCAAAATTTGGTTAATTTTGGTTAATTTCTTCTTGCTAAGAGTAGGAGTAGGAGAAAATTGTGGAGAAACCATTGCATTTGCTCCTAAAGTAACAATTTTTCCTTAATAAATTTCTTACTTCTCTTTTTCACCATGGGCTTAGGATGCTTCTGAACAACACAAGGAACTTACCGGCACTGGCACTAAAATAGGGTCCTAACAGTTGCGTGTCTGGGTGAATGACACTTGGCATTTTGCAAAGAAATTGCTGAGAAAAAGTGATTACAAGTCTATGTGCCTGTCTAATAATGCTGATATTTCTCTTCTTTGAAGACACAATCTCTGTTCTCTGTCTTAAGACAGTAAAATCTTCTAAAAAATCTTTCAGGACATGTTTTTAACAGTTGGCTTTAACACTGGTTTGCATCACCCATACTTCCAATTTTGCAGCAGCTTACGTTGTGTATACTCTGATTATTTCTTTCCATGTGATTTTGATGTAAAAATATTTATGACATCTATATAGCAGTTGCAATTGTTTGTACTGTATTCAGATAGTCGGTTTGTTAAAAGCTTTTTCATTTAACAGGTAAAAAATTTATCTTTTTTTCTGATTTCAGGAATGAGATTTCAGAGTTTAGAAGGGAGATTGTCTGACCTTGTGCTCCCCAGATATGGACAGAGTCTGCTCAAGGATTCAAGGGCTGAGATAAGAAATTTGTATGATTTTCATATTGCTTCTTTTTTTGTCATTATAATTCTTAGAACTTACGGTTTTCTCAAAGGAAAGAAATATATCTTTTAAGAAGTTTTCACTTTAGAAAATAAAATAGTTGTTTCTGACAACAGTAACACTGGTAACAATGCAGAAATATTTCCAGATAAGGAAAATGGGAAATCAGGGATTTAAAATGCAAAATATAGGTACATAAGAATTTGGCTCTGAGTTAAAACTGGTTTCAAGTGTTAAGGCTCTCTTTGCTAGGATGCAATGCCTGCCTTGTTTGTTGCGGGTCAAAGCTGACAGAAGAAGAACCTTAGTGGCAAAATTTTTACCAACGTAAGGCCTACAATGTGCACCACCATGCAGGTGATGACTATGTTAATGTGTTTCACTGGTGCATTTAAGTTTCATTTCTAGAGGCAGACAGATTTTATGGATAAGTGCAAAAAGCACTTAAAAAGTATTGCAATAGTTATATAAAAGGATTCTGGTTGACTTTTGCATTTTGAAGTGTGGTTTGTAATCCAACGCCACATTTTAACTGAAATTGAAGCCTAGGAAACCCTTACATCCTTGATGCAGAGATTGCATGAGAATAGAGAGGTGTTATATAGAAAATGTAGCTGACATCTAATTTAAAGATATTGAAGTCTGATTAGAGTATTTTTCTTCTCTGAATTGTGAGTTTAGAACCTGGCTTTTCTAAAAGCTGTTTGTTTATTTCCATAGTGATTTACTCAAATCAGATTATCAATTACGCTCTCTGTAAATGCTAAATTTTCAATTAATGGGCAAGCTAATTTAGAAATATATGGATTAATGTGCAGTCATTTATTTTGTGCTTGAAATTTTATAAACACAAAGATTAACTGGAATCATAGGAAACAGTTGTACAGAAATATTCCTATAAATTACTTTTCAAATTTCATTCCTGGATAAATTCCACTGTTTAAAACACATCTTTTTTTTTTCTTTTTCTTTTTTTATTTTTTTTAATGTAGATTTTTCCCATCTCAGAATAAAACCTTAAAAATTATTTTCAATTACTCCATCCACTGAAGTTCTAATCTTGTGATAGCTAATGATGTTGTTTTGCTTTTGAGAAACATCGGTGCTAATGGATTAGAAGGAAGATACTTCTAATGTAGAGTATAAGAAACCATGAAGAGCATTTTACTGAGGTTGCATGAAACATTATTCAGTGCACAGAAGCATTTACTTTGAGAGTTTGTGTTGCATTTTCATAGCAATTTAAATTCAAAAGCCTCTCTTGTGATGTATATTAATAAGAAATACAGATTTTGCTGAGCACTTAAAAATTTGGCTTACTTGAGTAGTCTTTTTTTTTTTTTTTCTTTGGAAAAAATATATAGCTGGTTTTGGAATGTAGAATGCTTGTACTTGCAGGGAGACTGTCATTGAGTCCCAAAGGAAACAAATTGAGGAACTAGACCATGCCAGAGAGATTCTTGCGAGTCAGCTCAGAAGGAGAGAAAAGGAGATTGAAGAATCCCTCCTACGGCTGAAAGAGCAGGGTACAGCAAGCCAAAGGTATTGTGAAAAATTAAGATCTCCATGGCAGAAGTGTTAGAAGAGCCATGTCATAATATCTGTAGGTATCTGTGGAAGTTGTTACTTCTGTAAAGAAATATGGGCCTTAATGATTTTTGTCTGATTGGTGAAACCAGGTCATAAAACGTTTTGCCAAATAGCATAGCTAATTCTAAGCCAGGAGATGGTTACAATGATAAGTTATGATGGTTTTTCATAAATAAACAAAAAAGTTCATAATTAGCATTTTAGAGAATTCTTTTCCAGCTGATACAGGTTCAATTGAAGTTCAGGTGATAAAGTTTTAATCACCTATTTTTCCTTCATTTTAATTCTTATCAAATTTTATATGTAGGTTCATAGTGGACAATTTAATATTCACTAGTACCCAATAATTTGGAGTCTACAAAGAGTAGAAAAAATACTGGTTCTGCTGTTGCAGAAAATGTTGAAATAAATGAAACTCTCTAACAGTGTTTTAGTATTTAGAGAGCAACATTATTTTATTCACATCCTCAGCTGTTTTCCAGATGTCTAAGCATTGTAGCCCCTTCACTTGTTCCAGCATGGCATTGTGACGATTTGTCTAGCATGTCTAAAATAGACAAATATTGGAAGAGAAATTGCCTTTCCAGATTTTGAAAATTTATTCTGATTTTATCATAATTTATATTAATAAAAATCCCAATTAGTTTATCCTTTTATACTTGTGGAAGTAATGGGGTTTAGTTGCACTGTTTGAATTAAGGAAAAACTGCTAAGTAAATATATTGTTTAATGTTGAATTATTTAAAACGTCCTTTCTAATAAACAGTACAGACTCAATCTTAGAATTGTAAGAATGCCTGCATAGATGCTAAATTATTTTCATGTAATTAAGACACACCTGCAGCTTGTTTGAATACCAGACTTAAGATGTTATAGTCTAAATTGCTAATCCACATTTTCCTTATGGTATTTGATAGGTAGAAACTTCACATAATGGTATTCTACTGGCACTAAATATTTCGCATGGTGGGAGAGAGGGAAGGCAATCTATTTAGGCATAGGATGTTTTCTTTTTCTATCATGCACAGTTCTATACAACAAACAAAGATGTATATGTATTGATTGAAGTTGCTGTGTCATCAAACAGTGGAATGTTTAATTACCTAAAATCTCTAGTGTGTATTATAGCAGAACAAATTTATTTTGGTATTATACACTACATCTTCTTCAAAGTATTTGCATTCTTTTTAATGCATTTCTTATTAATTTTGAAGGCTAAACATTCAGGACAATGTGGAAATGATCAAGGTCCGTAAACAGCTGGCTGAGAAAAGCAATGCCCTTTCAGCAATGGAAGGAAAATTTCTCCAGCTTCAAGAGGTAATCGCAATTTTATCAGTAAACTTTCTATACTCTTATCACATAAATGTGCTAAACAGAAGAAAAATTATACACAGTTCTTGATTCTAGGTCAATACTGAGTACATTAAAATGAACCACATACTACATTACACACAAACTACTCCAAATGGAGTAGAGATTTTTAGTCTTAACCTCTCTTTTTTTTTTTTTCAGAGGGTCTAGCAGGTCTTAGTGATTTCATCTGCAAAGTCATACCAAGCAGATTATGAAGAATGAACTGAGTTGTCTGGCTATGGAAAGAGGTCCTTGATCATTTTAAGAGAGGACTTCGACTTAGCTGTACTGATTTACAAAAAGGGGGTACCAAGCCCCCTCCACTTTATTACTTTTTGCTCTTTTGTTTGGCAGTTTGGCTCTTTTGTTCTGATGTTAGGATTTAACCTCTGTTCATATGTTCTTGAAAATTATTTTAGAGGGCTATTTTAAGTAATAATTTTCCATATAAAAGAGCAGTTTTATGAAAATATCTCCTGAACATGTAGTTCCATGGTAGATTATCTATAGGTTTAATTATACAGCTTTTTTCTGCTTTTTCCTGTATGTATTGGGAGAACTGCATGTGCATACAGAGGTTGTATGATAATACCTTGGAAATGGGAGAGTTTCTTTAAGTAGGAATCCTAACTGCAATAGAGCTCGTTATAGTATTGAGCCTTAGGAAGTAGAAGCACTGAGTATCCTCATAAATTCTTACTTCTGTGTGCTTATTGTTAGCATGCTAAATAACTCTTGTGCCATTTGATTTTCATTTGATTCCTTTTTCCCCCATGTTTTTCTGTCTCTGTATTTTGTTTTGCTTTTCCCCCCTCCCCTTCTTCAGTGTAATTCCTGTATCTACTCTGCCAAACTGAGAAAAGGTTTAACATGGCTTTTTGTCTTCTCTTCAAGAAATCTAAAATCTAAACCAGAGAGAGTTTAACTCTAGAATTTAGAGTTAAATTCTCTCTTATTTGTAACTATAAATAACTAGTTATAAAAATAGCTATAAAAATAACTCTATTTCTGCTGGCTGCTAATATTGTTTCTGCTCTGTGATTTTTATCTTCCTGATAAATGAGATAAGAAAGTCTGAAGATAAAGCTGGTGGTTGATTTTTCATGGGTTTTTTGTTCATTTCCAGTCTGTTCAGACTGCATGTGAATGTAAACAATTTTTACAGGATTAGCATTTAGCTTCTCCATTTAACTACTTTGTAGGAATATTGTATGGAAATAATGATGCTAACTTCTTTCTGTCTAAAAACATTAAACATTAAATATATTCACGTATGTATTTGGTATGTATTGGAAATCATCCGGTCATTTTATGAAACAGGAGATTGGGCTTTTGACTGTTTTGTCTCAAATCATAATTTGAATGTGATTTGTATTTGAATTTTTAATGAATGAGGCTTAATTACTGGATTGTGGATTGTAGGCAGTATAATATTAACTAATATTCTGGAAATAGAGGCTCTGTCAGCATCCTCCATTAATTTTAAAATTGGTTAAATGGGCCTTACTGTAATCCATCAAAGTAAATGAAAATGTAAAGAAAATCATAAGTCCCTTATTAATGTTCTTCTAGCTGGGAAATAGAGCTGAGTGCATGAGGGTTCCAAAAGAATTATATATCTACAATTGTGTGTATATGTATAAGTATAAAGATGTATATGTGCGTGTGTATATGTATATATAAATATAAGGGTTAACAGAGCTCTGGCAAGCTCTACGATTAGCATAGATATGGACAACTGATTTCTGCTTGCTTCTGCAGTGGGTTTTGGTTAGCATGTCCAACCACTGCAAAATCTTTTAATTGTTTTACAGATTCATTTCTTTATCATTTTCATCATGAGTAATGTTCATGAGGGCAATGTTCATGAGGGCAGTCAGGTCACCTTCTGCTGGCCATGGGAAATGAAAGTAACTTTCAGTTACTTAGTTCAAGAATGTGTCCTGCTGATCACTTTGAGAACATCAACACAACAGTGCCTTGAGAGCCCCCTGTTGAAATAGTGTGGGGACATGCTACTAGGTGTGATTTTGGTATTCCTTCCTTCCTTTTCACAGAATCTAAAGAACTTGAAGACCAACCATGATGCTTTATTAGCAAAAGGTGGCGAACTGAATGTTCACCTTAAAGAGGAGCGATTAAAATGCTTTCATCTTCAAAAAGAATTGCAGTCAGTAACTATTTCAAACAGAAGGACAGAAGAGGTGAGTGAGATTGTATTCAGGAGATTTTGAATCTGCTTGAAGTACATGAAGGTAAGGGAAGAATTAACGATGGGATGTCTTTTAATTGTGGAAATGTGAATAGATGTTTCAAACACATTTAGAAGACTGACCTAGTGATATATATACTGGTCATATACATACTTTTATCCCATTAAAAATTAAAAACAGTAGCTGCTGCTTGCATTTCATAGAAATATCAATCACAGCCACACAGTCACTGCACCAGTATTTGGACAATATTTGAGGTTAAAGCACAGGATTTCATGTCAATTCTGATACTGAACAAGTGGTTTGTTAGCTGAAAGAAAATCATACTTGATTTATTGATAATACTTTTTGAATATTCTTTCAACCTGATTTAATTCCAGTACAATATAATATTATATCTGATTTAGCAGTTAAAATCAGTTGCTTCTGTTTCTTTGTCTAGTGGCTCTCAAACAAATGTCATCCACATTTAGGGCTAAAAATCAAGTGGTTTATTCCTCATTCTCTTCAATGCATGAGGAGTAAGAGTTTGCAAGCTTACTTGTTTCGCTGTTACATTTTGTAGTAAATTTCGTTTTACCACCTGGTTTACCTGTTTTGAATGTATTTTGCATGAACCAAGTTTACCAAGATTATCTCATAAATACTTCCTCCAAACCTTTAAACTATTGTAATGCATGTAGGTATCTTCTTAGTATCTCATAGCTTCAAAGTTATGTCTTGCTTTAGTGAATATTTTGAAAACAAGGATGTGTTGTTTATAATGTCAGTAATACACTTAGATTTTTAGATTTTTATATTATTTTGTATATATACCCTGAGACTGGCTCAGTTGGTTAGACCAGAGTGCTAATACTGCCAAGGTTGTGGGTGTCATCCCCAAATGAAACTTAAAAGTTAAACTTGAAACATCCCCATTCACTTAAAAGATGGACTTGATCCTTGTGGATCCCTTCCAATGCAGAATATTCTGTGATACTGATTTAGTATAAAAAGAACAAATAATAGTTTGACAGTGCCTTCAAATAATTAACTATTTGTCTTCACACATTCATTGTAATTTCCTTTTGTGCTGTGTGTCAAATGAAACTTCCTTATTCATTTTAGTTACAGGAAAGAATAAATTATCTAGAAAAAGAGAATGAACTCTTGAAGGAAAACTATGATAAGCTGCATAACAGGTAAGTTACAGTTTCTGTATATAAAAATCAGGTTCCTGTCCTTTTGAATAGGTCTTCATATACTAGGTGCTGGAATGTGCATATTGAGTGTTTGTGCACACATATAAATATATTGATGCTCCAGTTTATCATATCAATAAGCATATATGGAAGCATTCATGGTACTCTGCCCGTATTTCATCTGTCCTGTTGAAAAGGATCAACTTGTTCTAATACTCTTGAAACAGTAGGTTACTACTTTTAAAAATGTAATTAAAAATAAGTAGGAATCACTTTATTTTGACCATAAATGAAAAAAGTTCTTATCTGAATTTCTCATTATTTTCTTTAGTTACTGTTGAATGAAGAATATATCTAGGTAGATATATATATTAATTTGGGTTTATTTGGGGTTTAGGGACTGTGTTTTGGTTTGCTTTTTTTAACAAAGGGGTGTTTGAATTTTTGTCTTAGGTTCTGCCAGCACTTCACAGTGAACCTATATAAAGTCTGATATTTGACAGCTTTTCCACTAATAATTTTTGAGGCGTGGTTTAGTTTTTTTGTAATAGCTATCATTTCACTTCTACTGATAAAGGAAATAAGTAATTCTAGCCAATTACCACAAGCATTTGAAAGAAAAAAATATTACCTTCAAATGAGCTTTTTCTTTATTGTGAAATTGTGATTTTTTTCACTAAAGAGGGTTAGAAAATAAAGACACATGTCTTGGAATTAATAATTGTCTCAGAAAGTAGGTAAAATGCTTGACATCTTTTCTTGTGTTGAAATTATTTCTCCTCTTAGTGTTTGGCTTCTCAGTGTGATGTCTGTCGAAAAATACCAATGACTAAACACAGTGTGAGTGATATCAAATTTTGTTTATAGTATTCTTACAATATTTGGTATACTTCTTGTACTGTTTGTGGTGAAATTAAAAATTATATAAGTAAAAAATGGTGAGTACAAATAAAACCTTTTTTTTTACTTCTGATATGTAACAGCTGTATAATCGTAATACTCAGTTTTGTCTAGGGGCAGTTGATCACTCGTCTGTTGCTCAAGTTCATTGTTGTAGATTTCTCCAAAATCTGATCATGTTATAAATATTTCTGATTACAATTTTTTTTTCTCTTTTATCATTATCAGGAAAAATAACACTTACTAATGAATCAACTTATAATATTTTTGTTCTACTTAAATCATAGAGAATTTAAGATGATGTTTAACTAAATAAATTTAAGTATGCTTCTGTTACTATGCAGTAACCTACAATATGGTTGTTCTTTTATCTAAAATGATCTGTCTTTTCATACAGTCTCACTTAAACGTTGATTCACATTTCATTGTTCCATATTGTTGTTTAACCCCAGCCAGCCCCCAAGCTCCTCAAAGCCCTTGCTTACTCTCCCACCAGCGAACTGGGGAGAAAATTGAAAGGGTAAAAGCTAGAAAAACTGTGCAGTGTGGTAAAGCCAGTTTAATAGGGAGAGCAAAAGCTGTACACGCAAGGCAAAACAAGGAATTCATTCCTGGCTTCCCGGGGGCACCTTCAGGGCCCCACCATATGTAACGGTGATTTAGGAGGACAAACACCATCACTCCAAATGTCCTCCCTTTCTCCTCCTTCCTCTTACTTTATGTACTGGAAAATATTCCTTTGATCTGCTCTCCCAGCTGCGTAGCCTCCCAGTTTCCCACACCCGCCCCAGCCCTCTCCCCAGGACAGCACTATGAAAACCAGAAGGGGCTTGGGTTATCTCCAAGCCCTGTTCAGCAGTAAGAAAAATCCTTCTGTATTATCATCACTGTGTTCAGCACAAATCCAAAACACAGCCCCATACCAACCACTAGGAAAAGCAATTACCTCTGCCTCAGCCAAGACCAGCACATAAAGTAATAAGAAATCAGAGAAATGGATAATTTCATTATAACCACTGTTTAATGGCTAGCTTTTTCAGTTTCCCATTTTCACAGTGCAATTCTACTGCAGCGTACTTGTTGCTAATAGTGGGTAGGAAGTGTCCACAGGTGCTAGTAATTAATAGGTAATTAGTAAATCTTTTTAATAGAGGAAAAGAGGCAGAAACCCATCCTTTGCTGATGTTGATTTTGGGAAGTTCATAGCTATTTTGCCAAAGCCAAGACTGTAGAACTGCACCTGAAAAGTTTGCAAAGAACAAGTATGAATTTGTCAGTTGACTCTTATTATTTACTCTGTCCAAGAAAACAATACATTTTGATAAAAGGTTTGGAGGTGTGGTTTTCATATGACCTTGTAATGCAAATCTGGCAATGCTTAAAATCATTCAAAAGAAACAGTACCCAATGTGGTTGACCATTATAGTTTATCCATGTGGCTTCAACTCCGATAAAATACAGTAGATGTGAGAGACATTCCACGTGAACCTTAAAATTCAAATGAAGAAAGCTACACAAGTGGACTCAATTCAAACCAACCAACATAAGCATTAACATTATATATAGGCTTGGATGAAACCTGTCTTCTGAAATGCTCTTCATTTAAACACTGAAATCTTGAACTGCTATCATAGTAACTCTTAATGGTTTTTCTGACAATATAGTCTTCTGAAAAACTGAATTAGATGTAGCTGCATCTTCATGTGAAATTATTGTACCTAAAGCTAATAAATGCACTTATAGTTATCATTAGAACGTGAAAACACTTTCAGAAGTGTGAAAACTAAGGGTATTTGAGACCTTTTCAGATATGATTTGTTCTTTCCTTTTTGGACCAGTGAGACTTGAAGCAGTTAGAGAAAACACTGTATCTTTTCTGTATATAGGCAGTAATGTGGAATGATAGTGGGTGCAGTGCATTATATTTCCTGCATATTATCTTTAAAATTACAGGAGAGTAAAATATATATTATTTTACTGCAGGACTTAGAAGCATTCCTTAAGCTCATGCATGCTGTGAAAGACAATCTGTCAAAGTGTAAGATGCTCTGTGTCTGGAGAAATTTATTAAATAGGTTAGGTATACTATAAGGAATACAGGGAAATAAAACTGTTTTTAAGAAGAGCACAAATCCAGAATATAAACCCTTGCCATATACTTGAGAGTCCACAGTTTGTGCTGTAATAGTTTTTTTTTCTTTAAACTTAGGGTCAGTCTTTAAGTATTTTTGATGTAACTGCACTTATAAATACTCAGAACCACTGCATATAGTCACTCATGAGAGCAGGCCATTCTCTTTGAATCCTCAGGTATAGTCTACAGGGCTCTGTGGGCTGTCCCTTCTGCAATACTTCTTTCTTCTCCTTTTTTTTTTTTTTTTGTTTGGTTGAGGCTTGTTTCGTAGATCTCTGGAAGAGATAGGTTGCAAAATAGATTCCAGAAGATTTTTTAGAATGTTTATATATATATATGTGAAACATAATATTGGTTAACTGGTGAGCTTCAGCAAAGGAAAGTCAGAGCAAATGGATCCTTTGTTTAAAACACCCCCATGGTTTATGATTTTTCACAGAATATATAAATGAACAAACTGGTTTATGATTTGTTAAGATGGGCATTTTTCCAGTCAATAAGAATGCAAGAATTGAACAGTAATATGAGGAGTGTAGTACTCATTGTGTAAGTTATAAAAAAGCACATTACATTACTTTTTCTTTTTACCTGCAAGGAATTATACTATAAATTATATAAAATGATTTCTTTTATTTCAGTCTGAGTTACACATTTTATTGTGGTTTTAGCAGTTCTGATTCTGTATCCGTACAGTCCTTGCAAATAGATTGGCAGTTTACAAGCAAATAATGTTACAGACAAAATAGTTATTCTAATTTCTTTTCACACTTTTTTTTTTTTATCAAGTTGGAGAAAGATTACTTTATATGTGCTCCTTAATCAGTGTCAGAATTGTTGCTTTAGAGTATGAGAAAGCTGTTGTCACTTTGCGGTCAACATTTTTTTGACCAGGCAACTGACTTCAGGTCCTGCATGTTTCACAAATTCAAAAGAAATCAGGTGAATGATCCCAATTCTCTACATTAAGAGGGCTTGTACAGAAAAAACTCAAACGATAACAAAAACAAAAAAAACCAAAAAACCCCAAACAAACAAAAAAAGATTTTGTAGTTGTCACTTGCTGAAGTTTGCAGTTTTAGATTATTCTGGGATATGCATGAATTCCCTTCCTAGTCCCACAAGTGTTGCATGCTACCAACTTTTTTTAAATTTGGAGCTGTAATTTAGGGCCAGTTCCTTCTCTTATCCCAGAAATCTTTCATGTTTTTTACTGCAGCCTAAGAGAGCCACCTTGGTTTCAAGAGCAGCAGACCTTCATATGTTTACATAATTCCTCAGCCACGATGACAGTGGTCTCTGTGCTGCTAAAAGTTTTTTTTTTCTTGATTATTTACTGCTGAAGCTGATTTCTAAAAGTTTTTCATATAACATATGTTTTATCGCAGTATCTTCAGTCTGCCCCATGAACAGCAATGGAAATCAAAGGAACAGCAACTGAAACTGCAAATTGCTAAACTAGAGACAGCTATCAAAACTGATTTAGCAGACAAAAATGAAATCCTTGACAAGATCAAAGTAGAAAGAGGTATATTTCTGAAAAAACTAGTATTTTCTGAAAATGTGAGATTATACCCATGTTGGAGTTGAGATACACTGCCCAGATAAGTGTAAGAATTTGTTGCTGGTATTTTCAAAGCTGCATTTTAAGTGTACATTTGCTAAATATCCCTCAGGTATGACTATCTGTTAAGTGCAAAAATTGACCCAATACAGAATATGGGCTGAATGAGGCTCATATAATTTCAGCTGCATTCATTCTTCATCTGTTGGGTTCATATTTACTCTTTAATCAGTATTTTTCCTCTTCTCTATACTGAAAGTTCTTATGGAAAAGAGATCCATCTGACAGTTGCTCTCAAATTATAAACCACTACTCTATTCACTGTACAAAGCTACGTGAAGTCCATATAGGACCTTGGTGATGTTTAATTGTCTTTCAAGTTAATTAATTCAGAATTTTTTTATATTTTCGGTATATACTTATTTTTATTTACAGCATTGTACATTTAAAATGGCACAGTTTTCTTTTAATCTAATGAACAGATTATTTCATATGTATGTTTTCTTCGTGCTGTAGAGCAACTTCTTAGTGAATACTGACTTTGAATCTTTGTTCTATCTCAACACTAATTACCGTAGCAATATGAAGTTTAAGAAAGACAAGCACAGGCAGAAAGTGAAAATATTTAATTTAGAGTTGATTCTTCAAATGTGTATTTTAAAGATGTGCATTTCTTTGAACAATTTATTGGAATGAAGTGGGCCAACTTGTTGTGAATAATTCTTACAGTTATTGCTTGAGTTCAGCATGTGCTTACCATTAGGATTCTCAGTAGCTCTGCTGACTTCGAATACCAGATTGAATATTTAAACATTTTATTTGACCCACAGCATTTGCAAAATTAGCCTTAACTGATATTGAAATAAAGATGCCTTAGGCTACATTATTATGAAGTTATGACTTATTGACAGTTGCTACTCATAGCCTGATTATGAGAAAACTGGCATTCTATCTTCTTTCCTTCCCGTGGGCATTATGTTTAACTGTCAAGTGTTTATCATCCCTTCCCCAGGTAGCATGTTGCACTCCTAAACTGAAGCACCAGGGTACTACACTTGCAATTTCTATTGAATTGACTTGGTGCAGCTGGAGTAGATGTTCTAACATCCTTTTAGGCCTCTGTATCTAGAATTTGATTACAGCTCTGTCTTTCACAAAACGTAGGCAGTGTAACTTTCTTCAGTCGTGTATTTCAGAGTATCTGCCTTTGTTACACATTCCTGTTTTAAGTTCAGTAGAATTGCAATTAATGCTTGTCTTAACGTACTGCCTAGAGCTAATGTAGAGATAATGTCTACCCTTTGTAGTTTGGCATATGAATCTTCTTTCTAAACTTCTTTCCCAGGTCTAGGAAAGATGGTAAAATACATGAAGGCTTGAAAATTGTTAAAGCTATAGGAGACCAACATCGTCTTGACATTTCATGTTCTCCTTCTGTATTTCCCTTTCAGAAAGATCCTGTAATTTGATATGAATGTTTTAGTAGTATTTTTCTGGCCATAAGATCATAAAGTGCTTTGTAATACTTAAAAGAAATGTATTTAGACAGAAAATAGAGTAACACTCTAACTATGTTTTCTTTTTTTTTTTTTTTCATATGGTACTTGCAGAAGCTATATCACCCTTCCACCAGCCTCATTTCTCTTAGACATTTATTCTCGTATTTCTTGTCTTACCAGTGTTTCCCAGATTATCAGCCATAAATTACAGTAGCTGTTTGGTTCATGTTCATTGAAGTTTACTAACGGTAATGTTTCATGCAGGTTTTAAAACACTGAGATAAATTAGTACAAAATCTTAAGTTCAAGCAATTACTATAGCAAGGATTCTTGTCGCTTATCTCATAAATTCATACAGTGTATGTATTTACTTAGTTATGTCTAAATATTTTTTATTTTACATGAATAAAATCTCATGCATTGCTGCATTTGTTGTTCTTAGTTATAGTACTATTTTACAGAGTATACTATTTACTAAGTACAATTTTTTATCATTGTCTTAATACAGAAGTATTTATTGTGTCAGTAAAAGTTGACCTGTTGCAAAAATCAACCCTGTCCTAACCAGAACGAGGACACGAAGATTTCCTCATACCAAATACATTAATTTCTGCATTTTTCCATGAAATTTTCATGTGTGTACTAATATGAAAAAATCAAGCCTGTAATTTTTTTAACTGTGTTTAATTAAGTGTAATATTTTGTTCTTCTATAATCAAGATCAAAAGGAAAAGCTTATGCAAGACAACAAAGACCTGCAGTTACGCTACCTGGAACAAAAGCAGCAAGTAGATGATCTGAAAAATCAAGTGAAGTTTTTGACCAAGGTGAGCTATATTTTTGTTTCAAATATGAGAAAGAAACCCCTCTATGTTTTATACATAGTGCAGATACTTATTGAAATTCAAAGAATCTAGAAAAATAAGTGTTCAGGTATTCATGCTATCAAGCAAAATATCATGTCTAGTGAGAATGTACCTTATTATTCTGAATCAATTTCTTCGATTCACATCTGATAACACCTTTCTGTTAAGTTTCAGGGAAGTGATGTTGGTGTGGCAGAACTCAGTGAAAACCTCTTGCTTATAAAGGTAACTTACAAAGAATGAGGGATTGGAACTAAATGATGTTTAGGATCACTTTCAACCCAATCCATTCTAGAATTCTCTATTCTGCATTCTCTAATTTTCTTGTTTGTGCGAGAGGTTTTTGTTTGTTGGTTGGGTTTGCTGGGTTTTATCTTCTTTGTTAAACCCTTGGCTCACCATTATATTCTTTCTACACTCCTGGATTTTCAAGAGCTGAATTATTTGAGCATCTTTTAGTGTTTAATGCCTCAAGCTCAAATGTGTGCTTTGTCATTTTTTACTTACAGTTAATCAGAAGGGAAGATAAAAAAATTGCCAGAATTAAATCTTAATTCATGTAAATAATTCATTATAACATCAAAAGTTAATTAAATGAGATTCATAGCCATTTTAAAAAAGCTTAGTTTTTCTCAGTTAAATGATTTATCATGGCATCTTTTTATCCTTATATAATGTTTACAAAAACCAATTTTGTTTATTAATTCTGTAATTGATGCAAATGTACCATAAGCATGGAAGTTCCAATATGTGGTATAGCAGTGCTTAGCAACTTCTCTTTGTTTATTAAAACAGAAAAATAAGAATACTCAGAAAATACAGAAAAAATTTTTTTTTCTTGCACAAATTGAAATTGGAGCGATTGGAAGAAATCAGTGAACAAATAATTTTGCAATATTTCCACTGTTTGGGTAACTTATGTTTTATTTTCTTGAAGAAGTGTTTATTGTAATGATGATTATATAATGAAAATGAAAAAAGAAAAACAGGAAAAAAAATAAATAAATAAACCTCAATGAAAATTATCTCCCCAGTATTAATAACAGAAAGAATGTAGACTTGAGAATAATAATTTAGGGTGTGTACATTTATGGAGGCAGGATTATTAATTATAAGAAAGGAAAATGTATATTTTTGTATTTTCATTGGATAGACAGGAGTGATTGCTTCAGAATATCTCATGTATTTTAATTGGTTTCTGATAATCATGGGATTATTTTGCTGAAAACAATCCTGACATGTTCTAGTCTAGCTCATTCCTGGTTTTGTGTTACCGTATGCTTAAGTTTATAAAGTTCTGCTTGCTGTCTCACTATTGTACCGAAAGTATATTCCAGTGTTGCATTTAGCCAAGCACAAATACATGCAAATCTTTTACAAGTCTTTTCTAGCAATTTTTTCAAATGTGCTCCAGGACCAAAAGCAACAGAATAACGTGGACCTTCTGTTCTTGGAAAAAGTGGAAGATGATATCCATAAAGATACAGAGTACTCCATGCAGGAGCTGCAGTTAACACACGCGGAAACAGTGCAAGAACTTGAAAAGACAAGGAATTTGTTACTTGTACAGCACAAAATTAGCAAAGATTACCAGGTACTAAACTCTACTCACAGTGGAAAATAACCTGATAATAACATTTTAACCTTCGTAGCTCTGACACTTGTGATAATTAAGACTTGCAAATTCAGCAACAAGGCCGGCCTGTGCATAGAGAACCAAACATAAAATCTGCTGTTGCTGAATGTTTGGTTTAAAAAACGTGAGACCCAAGTGACTGTAAACTGTAGCCTTTCAGCTCATCCTGCCCCTAACCCTCAGACTGTTCCTTCTTGGGGTTATCTCTGAGGTCCTACCAGGTCTTCACAGGTAAGATAGTAAATATGCTTATCAAATAAGCTTCCTTTTCCATACCACTCTGCTTTCACTGTCTTCTTTCTACTTCCACTGCTGGAGTATTGCAGATTATATTTTGACTTTTCATTCAAATAATTAGCATTTAAAATAACGAAATCTTTAAATAAACCATTAGGTATATTGTCCTAAAACAAAAGCTACTCTGTTTTTCCTCATGATGTTTTTAGATTTTGCTGAAATTAGAACTGATTTGTTGTATTGGTAAATGAAAAACTGCGGCTATTTTTGCATACTCTAAATGTTGTTTCCTCAAATCTAACTGTATTTTAACTTGTAGCCAAAAGCATGTGCAACATCAATGCAGACAATCCTCAGAAGTTCTTTTTACGTGCAATTTTTTTCAGACTGAGGTAGAAACAATGACAAGAAAGATGGAAAGTCAACAGAAAGACTATGAGTTAAAACTGGAACAGTATACCCATCTTCTTGATATTAGAGCTGCACGTATCAGAAAACTAGAAGGTATCTTGAAATATATATATATCTTTTTTATATATATCTGTTATATTCTTAACTATTTTTTTTTATATATTTTATCTCTTTCAAATTACTGTTGTAAATTTGTTCTCCAGTTGAAGCACTTTTCCATTCCTAAAACTGGTAGAGAGGTCAGTTCTTTCATGGAAAGGTATATATTCCAGTTAATTTTCATTGACTTATATTATATTAATAATGATAGCTATTAATTAAACCAAATCCAGCAAAGTGTTTTTTATACTGCAGCTATTTCTGAATAAGAATAAAATTACCAAATTTGTGGGTTTTTTTTTTAATAAAACATGCTTTTATGGTCAACCTTTTACTTTGCAGTACTATCATTACAGAATCACTTTGTTACTAAAATTACTCAAGTCATGTTATAATAGACTGACACAGTATTTAAACAGGATGAATTTCAAGTGTTTTTTCATGGCTTCACTGTGTAAAAGGTGCATAGGAAGCTTCAAACAGAATATTTTACAAGCACTTATGTTGAAACAATTTTCACATTTTCTCTCCAAGTTGCATCTACCGCATCATGGTTTATGTCCTAATTCTGTAAGCACGTATTTTGATTTCTTAGAGTCATACAATCCCAGAATGACTTGGGTTGGAACCCATCTCGTTCCAATTCCCTGCCAGGGGCAGGACACCTTCCACTAGAAGTCTACTCAGAGCCCCATCCAACCTGTGTTTACCACTTACTAACCACTTACAACCTGAAGCTTGGAAACATGTGAAGGACTTTGCTGATAGTTCTACTCACTCAAGATATAACAGATGTTAAAAGTCAGATGTATTATTTCTTTCTCTGGAAAATTTAATAAACATCTTAATAAATAATCTTTAAATAAGCGTTTAAATCTCTGTTACATTTGCATAATGATACTTACCTGGAGTATTGCATAAGACTTCTGAATTTTTGCTTTTTAACTCCCTTATAACTTGACAATAACTGTTAGGGTCCTGTGTCTATGTATACTGAGGCAGCTTCATTGAGGAAATACTCCTGACTGTTGTCAGTGTGCTCAGTGGGCATTCAGTGTATGAATTCTTCTTGGTAATGCCTTTACAAAAGTAATATTGTTAATATAATTGAATTATGCTTTTATCCTTTCTTCTCAGTCATTAATTATATTTAATTTTTTTAAAAGACAATCATATTATAGCTCTATTTTATCTGTTGCAGCCCAACTAAGAGACGTTGTCTATGATACAAAACCACTTAAGTCCAGACCAGAAGTATTGCCAAGTGATCCAGTGGATGGATTTGTTGAAACTGTTAATTTAGAAAGAGGAGAGAACCTTTTTGAAATTCATATCAGCAAAGTGATCTTCTCTTCTGAAGCTATGCACACTTTTGGTGACTTGGAGCCTGCAACCTTTTGTAGTTACGCATTCTACGACTTTGAACTTCAGATAACCCCAGTAGTTTATGGGAACGCCCCATTATATGACTTCACTTCTCAGTTTCTTGTGCAGTCTGATGACAGCTTCTTCCACTATATACAGGAAAACAGCGTCACACTTGAGGTTCATCGTGCGTATGGCATAGATTATGAAACAATTGCTTCATGTCAACTTAAGTTCCAGGAAATTTTGGAAAATGATGGCAAGATCTACTACACAGCAAATTTAGTTGGTAGTTAATAATATCACAAAGTAATCTGTTTGATTATGTATCATTATATTGCAAGTGATAAATAATGCATATTTGACAAAAATGAATTTGTACATTACTCTTTCAAAAGGAAAAAGAGAAGTGTTTACAAGAATACTATTTTCTGTTGAATGTGCAGCATGTTCTTGTGATTCTGCCAACACTTGTAGAAAGCTGGGAGGGGTGCAGTTTTACCCATAATGGCTTATAACCTCAGGGTAAAAGGGGAAAAAACCCAAAAGAGGAGGCACCCCCACTTCGCCCATATCAAACATCAATGCTTTATATCTGGCCTGAATGTCATAAGTATATCCTCTTGTCCCTTATCAATAACCAAAGGAAGAAATTATGTAATCTATGATGATAAGACAAACCCATATGATAGTGAAAAAGGTACAAATTATGGTGATTATGGTTAATAATATTTAATATAATAGCATAGTCTAGGAGGGTGTTTATTTATGTTTTGTGCATTATTCTAGGCACATTCATATTCATTATATTAAAATAATTTTAAGGTATCCTGGACAACCCACAAGACACTTCTAAAAAGTATTGAATATTCTGTGCTGCTTATTTTTTCTTCCAGAAATGTTCTGCCAGATCAGCGTATTCAGTGATCTCTTAACTGGCCACTGCTGTAAAGAATCTGGTTTAATAAGGCATTGTAAAGTGGCATTTTTGCCAGTAATTTAAATTGCATACCTCTTTTTGGGATGCTTCTGTTAGCATACAAAACTGTCCTAACCTTTATTTGCCTTTAAGAGATAAAAATATTGAACTTTGCTTTGACCCTGTAGTAAATACATAAGTAGGAAAAAATGGTCATGTTTTTATTTTGGATCATACAAGGGGAGCCTGGGAGTTGTTCTTGTTTGTAACATAAAACAGATTTCACATCACAAGCACTGGTGTAATGCGTAGGCACAATCTTTAATTTGTGATTTTTCCTAGCTTTTGAGTAACATACCTTAATGTTGAAAAGAAAATTAATGCAATCTCCTGTTTATTCCTTAGGGAAAACAGGACACATTCAAAATTATGGTACCATAGAATACTGGATCAGGTTACAAGTTCCTATGGACCAAGCAATTATTCCCTACAAACAGAGGTCAAAGGCTCTGGGATATATAATGCCCAGTTTTAGAGAGCATGAACAACCATCCAAGGTATGTTTGGGTCTGTACTTGATAGAGTGAATTACTTCATGGAGAAGACAAGCTTCAGGGTGACCTTATTGCAGCCTTCCAATACCTGAGGAAGCCTACAAGAACAGTGGACAGAGGCTTTTTACAAGGTCATAGGACAAGAGGGAATGACTTCAAACTCAAAGAAAGTAGGTTTAGATTAGAAGACAGAAATTCTTCGTAGAATCATAGAACAGGCTGAGTTAGAAGGCACCCATCAGAATAATTGAGTCGAACTCCTGGCCCTGCACAGACACCCCAACAATCCCATTCTGTGCCTGAGAAGATTTTCCAAATGCTCCTGGAGGTCTGGCAGCCTTGGGGTTTCATTCCCTGAAGTGCTTGTTTGGTGCCCGTCCTCTGTGGAGAGAATCTGTTCTGATGTCCAGCCTATCCTGCTCCTGACATTGCTCCAGCCATTCCTTTGACTGGAACAGGTTTCCCAGAGAAGCTGGGGCTGCCCCATCCCTGGAAGTATCCAAGGCCAGATTGGACAGGGATTGGAGCAGCTTGTCTAGTGGAAGGTGGTGTCCCTCCCCATGGCAAGGATTTTGGGACAAAATTTTAAATTCCCTATCAATCCAAGCCATTTTATGATTCTGTGATAGTTTTGATAAAATTAACTCTTTAATTCTTTCTTTTTTGAGTTCAAATAGCTTAGGTCAAGTCTTGATACATTCAAAGTGTAATAAAGGTTCTTGAACCAGAAAATACATTAGCAGTTTTTCATCTAAAGAGATTAAGAACCAGTTGAATTATACCTTACCCAAAGAGGCAAAGTCTCAAACTTAGTTATTTATTTTTACTGAAGTTCTCACTAGAACGTTTGACATTATATTTAATTTTCTTGAGCTGTGAGTGCCTTATGTTTTACTATCACGCTCATGAATTTTAAACCAGCTGGATGTTAGATACATAGAATGGATGAAGCAGTTTTTCAAAAAAGGTAATGAAGTAGTTCTTAACATTGGAAAATTATGAGATGGAGATTGAGATTCCTTTGCATTTGTTTTTTGCTGGGTTTTTTAGCTGGATATTGAAGAGAATTTTGACAATATAATTCACTGTACAATCACATTTAAATAAGGGCCACAGAAAAAGAAGGAACTTTCAGACATCTTTAATAGTTGTTTAAGAAATAAAAGCAAACAGGTTGAAATGTATAAATTAAAATACTAGAGGTTTTAGTGGGCTTTTTTGTAAGCTAAGGTGTTTAAAATACTGTATCTGGAGTAACTCAAATTTTTATATTATTCCATATAGTGAGTTTATGTGTTAGATAATATCTCCATGGGTTCCATGATGTAATCAGAGAAGTATGTTGTGTATGAATTTGTTAAATTATGTCTGATTAGAATTTAATTTAGTGCCATTAGATTTGGCTTTGAAAAATATTAGAGTTCCTCATAATTTAATGTAAAATAAAATGGCAATAAGTGCCCTTCAATATATTTGTTTATTACAGACACCAACACTCAAAATGAAGCAGCGTGCAGCTCAAGCACACAAGAGAGTCTCTTTTCTGGATCTTAGTACGATACAGATGTCAGTAAGTTCCGAGTATTTTTGTTATGAACGTTGAAGCATGAAAGGCTGCTTACGGCTTCATATGGGCAATTTGTAGAACTAATAATCAAGAACACTGGATTATTTTAGCAGCACAATACTGGGATGTCCCAGGCAATGAATGATAGCATAGTACTGCATATAGGTGGGGGATGGAATGCAGTGGTATTTGTGTGACTCCCTCAGAACTGCTTGATGTTCCTCCACAGTTTACAAGCTTCAATTTCTGCTGGCTTAGGGCAGATTCTAAGAGGACCAATCAACTCACTGTGCACTGTGTTTCTCAGCTCTCTGCATTATTCAAGTGTCTTTCTACAGTGTACCACCTGCACTGCATATAAAGGGCTCTATAGAAACCAGCTTGATCCAAATAGATCCTGAGTGTTGGGATAATGAGATACATAATTTGACATAGTTCAGAGGCACCTCTAAAATGAAGTTTATCAGCTGAGATTGCACACATTCTGAATTATTTTGAGTATAATTATTCTGAAAATAATTATACTTCTTCACTTGGGATACACTATCATCTGTACAGCCTTACAGAGTCTTAAGAGAGTCTGCGTGGAACTAAGTCAAATGTATTTGCTGCATTTTGTAAATTTTCCTCTGAAATAATTCACATTCAGAGAATTAAGATAGGTTGTGGTTAGTCTTTTAAGTAAATTCCAGTAAGTAAAGGTAGGTTCTTCAACAGGCAATTATAAAAGGTTATGTTTATATATTATATATAATTATAATAATAATATTGCATTAATTGAGAACTAGTTGTGGGGTTTTTTTCCTTTCATAAATTACTTGATTGGATTTATTCTTTGAAAAGTTAGCATCTTTTCAATTAACAGGTTCTGTTACTGTTTAGTTTACTATGACTAGAACTTCGTTGAGAGCTATACAGTATAGACTGGAAATAAGAATTAAGTCAATCTGTTGCATTTACTAACTTTAAAAAACAAAAAGTCAAATGTTGGTGAATATAATCTTTTGAGAGCTTAGATATGAAAAACTGAAATGTTAGCTGGATGGTTAAACACACAAAATATCTTCAGCTATCCAAATAGTAACTTCTCAAAGTTTGACAATTTTCACAAACTAGGATTTTCTAAGTGAGACACCTGCTTGCTCTCATCGTAAGTCTTTATTGCTGGGTTGGCAGCTCCTCTAGCTGTTTTAAAATCTAAGGCTCATTGTCTGTTTAAAGACAAAAGGACTATTAAGCCTAAGTAATGGAACAGCTTCTCTGACGTCTAAGTCTTGTGATGAAAGGGCAAGAAAGTGTCCATGCAAGAAAAACAGAAGTTCGACAGATTAAAATGGGAAGCCTAATTCATTTTCCAGTTAATTTTCTGAATAGCAGAGAATCAATCTAGTTCTTAATAAAAGTTCATATCAATGTGATACATGCCAAAGCAAATAGAAAAGGAGACTCACTTAAAAGTGGGATGAATGGTTTGACTCATCCAAACTAATTGTAAGAATGGTCCAGCCTCATACATAGGAAGCTCTAGCAGAAGATAGAATCAGTGATGCTAATGCAGGGAGGCAAAGGAGGACATAATTTCCTGTCCAAATGCTTTTCCACCAGTAAATCTGTACCTACTTTTATATATTAATTGTCTACTGTATATTAAAGGCTTCCCCTTGTTTTATTCAGACTGGGCTTCCTCCACACTTAGGGCTCTGTATTTGAAAATAATATGGAAGTACGTTAACATTTAAAATGCAGTTTCATAGGGTTCACTACAATTATAATAATGACTTAACTACAGATTTGAAATAGTAACATTCATACCAAAATCAATTCACGTGCACATAGGTAAAATTATGTGCAGGCCCATGTGTGTAAATTTAGCTATCAAAAGTTCTTCTTGGGTTCACTGAAATACTCATATCAAATCCCTTTCCATTTCCCAGCTGGCAAGGCTTACACCTCGAAGAAGGTGGAGATGTGTGGTGTCAGCCCAGGCCTCGTTGTCAGTGACGGTCTTTCAGATATTGCAAACTTGAGGATTTGCAAGCTCTGAGAGGTCCCACTTGGAGTGGGCAGTGTAGTGGAGCCGCTGCTGTTCAGGAGAGCTCAAAGGGTCTCATTTAGGACTGCTGTTTATGGGGTTGCAAGGTGATTATTGGTCACCAGTTTCCCTCCTGGTCAAAGCCCAAATCAATTGCTCCTGGTGTTTTTTCCCCAAAGTGCAACAGCAATGATACCATTACTCTCGAGCTACAATTCAGGTAAATGGTTTACCAAGGCTGAAAAGGACAGTTGCTTATGCTTTGTTTCCCATCTTGGTTAGGCAGCTGATGTTTCTGATTGTGCCCATTTACATCATGCCAGAGCTCCTGGTACAATCTGGTGATGCCTCACAATTTACCTGACAGGATTAAGAGACACTTCACTGCTCAGCTGGTTCTGTCAAGGCTTTTAAAGTGTGTCTGCGAGTAGAGCACTGAGGATGATGTACTTGCAGATGATGTAGGAGGGATGCACCACCACATTATGTAGCACTTAGAGGAGAAGAAAAGTATTAATTATTGTATTGGCCCAATTGGTTGTAAAAGTAAATTGTGGCAGATTGGCAAACTGTAGTTTCTAGTGGTATACTGTAGTTTCTAGTGGTATAACACAGTATTTAATCACTGGCTCTTATTTTCCTTTTACTTTACTGCTTCAACCCTCATCTGGGGCTTTGCTTGAGAAGAGTCTCTCTCTGACCATATCGGGTGGTATTGGTCAATTAGAATAAGCAAAAACTGTTGTCTCGGAAACTTTCATCCACAAAGTGTAACTCTTGTCACTGAAGGAATTAAGAAGAATGGCCAAACATTGTATAAAACACAATGGTTATGACACATCTGTAACAAAAAGGAGCATAAGACACATAAAGTCAGTTTTCTATGACTTGAAAACTTGTAGGATAACCTTGATTTATAGAACAAGACTCTGTTGTGTTTGTTAGCATTGCTTTTCTTTGTGTGGCTCCAAATGTGTTGGAACAAAAATAATTCTTCAGGTCCAGTTTTGAAAAACTCAGATGTTCTGTGGACAGCTGAAAGCTTTTTCATGGATTCTGAGGGTGGGAGGTGAGGCATCAGTGCCTCTGTGAAAAATTCAGTCCTACAGGAGAATTGTTGGATAATAAATAATGCATAGGTAATGAAGCACTGCAAGTTTACATGGAAGGTGCCTTGTCTGTAATGCACTATCCGCTGATGAGGTATTATTTTGTGTAATTGAACTCAAAGAGAAGGAAAATAGTAAGATTACTTCAGAATACATTGTGCATTAAAGATATTTTACCTTAGATAACATGTTTTTACTGTGTAGCAGAGCTGATTATTTTTTTATATTATATTACTTTGCTTTTGAGTCAGAAAATACTGTATAATTTAAGTTAGAAAAATGGTGGTGGTGTTTTCTGTGTGTTTTGGGGTTTTTTGACTGAGTCTTGTAGAACTTGTAGAAAAAGATGAAATACAAATTAATCTGGAAATCAAACAGGCTGTATATATGTTGACAGGTACAAAATTATTAAAATAGTTATGTTTTCACAAATGCAGTTAGATAAATGTCTTTCTGCTGTATATGAATTATATGTTACAGCAGTTGACATTGTTTCCTGCACTGCATAAGCAATAATAAGCAATTGTTAAAAGGCTCTGGATAATGAACGTAGCCCGTAACTCTTCAAGTTTTGAACTTTAGTAACTTCTGCTATTCAAGGAGTTCTATAAAGACTGAAAGTTTATCTTTTTCTGTAGCATGTGGTACAGGAGGCTAAACAGGTGTCAGGTGACAAAGCGAAGGAGATGGCCGAAGAAATTCAGCAGGAAAAAGAGCTCTCTCATCTGTCAGAGGAGCAGTTGGCTGACCAAACATTGATTACTTCTAGAGATGAAACAGAAATAATTGAAGAATTGCAACCAGAAGGTAGAATTCATATTAAGAAGTAGCTGTATTTTCTGAAAAAATCTGTCTATTAGTGGAAGCTGCCTCATTATGAGAAACTTCATGACATAAATTATAATCTGGTGTACTTTGCACTTGAAGTTGGGTGGTGGGTAAATTGTGTTTTCTTCCCAGATGGAAACCATATTGTAATTGTTTGCAAAAATCTAATAGATAACTTAGATTTGTACAATATTAAAGGAAACCTGGTTTCTATTTTAAATGTCTTCAGATTCTCCCTTAGAACTATGCTGTTCCAAAGACTATTTTAATGAGTATGCTTTTTTTGTCTGCAGATAACAGCCAATGCTGATACTGGCATCCTTTCAGACAGTGAGAGGGCTAGTATGCCATATCACTTATGTGCCACAAAGTTGTTAGATTTACTTAAAGATTATAAAAGCCAAGTCATCCTATTCCACCTCCGAGCTTAAACTGTTTATTAGGGCAATAACCAAGTCCATGATTCCAAGTTTAAAATAAAAGCAGAAGAAGAATGCTAAATTTTTGTTTAGTTCTCTGCAGCTTTAGCATAAGAATTAATTAGAAAGATTGGAAAAACTTGCTGAATGTTGATTTTGAATACCAGTTGTCTTTATCATTTCCTTCATGGAAAAAAATGCTCTAGAATATTCCAGAAAATAATGCACCTGAATACAGAACTATTTTTTAATAAAGTAAAAAAGTGCATTCTTCTTTCATGTATGCATGGTGTTGAAGGAAGTCAGAGAAAATCCACAAATTCGGGCCATATTCTTAACTAAAGCTAACAGTTGTGCATACTTAATTTGTTACAGGACTTACTTTATTTGCCAGCTTGTGTCTGGAAAACATCACTATTTTTTTTTAGCAAACCAGAAAAAATACAGATTAGATGACTGTAAAGATCATTGATTCACAGTGTTAATGTTCTTCAAGGAAAAGAACATTTACCTGGCACTTACTCTTTTTATATTAGAAAAGGAAATTCATTGCTATCAGATTTCTTATTCAGTCTGAGGTGGTCTAAAATATAGCAAGTGTTACCTGCGTGCGTTTGTTTGTTTGTTTGTTTATTTATAGATCAAGATAATCAAGATGATGCTGTTGAATCAATAAAAACTGACAGTGATGACTGTATCATTTCAAGTCCGGTATCCACAAATATTAAACAGCTGAGTCAGAGTGTACATGGTAATTATTTGGTAAGACTAAGAAAAATATTTTAAGCCTAATGTCCACTAAGAGTAGCTTTGCTGTATCTAACATCAGTTTTCAATGAAACTGTACATGTACTGTACAAAATCTCTTGACTTATTCTTAAAATCAGCAATTCAGGGCTTGAAGTCATATATGCAGAGTAGCACAGCATAATACAAATTTGGAAAATGTACTTTGAACAATATTTCAATAGGATAGTTCTCAAAAAAATAATATTTCACACTTTTAGATCTAACATTGGCCGAACAATCTTAACCATAAAACTAGTACTTAAAATTAACAGGCTTTAATGTTCTGCGATGTGATATCCTAGAGGAAGTTTTATTTTTTGAAGTGCTCTTTTCAAGGCTATGTGGTATCTTACAAAGTAACTAGCAACAAGAAACATGTATAAGAAATACTGCTTCTTTTTTTTTTTTAATCTGTAGAAAGTACTTCTCAAAGAAATTGCATGTCTTCAGCTCAGTAGGTATGTAGAAACGCTGTCACTTATATGTTCTTCAGAAAGATACAGAAGGTACTTTTGAAGACTGCATTATTTATATGTAAAATGTTAAAAAAAATTCACCTGTAATTTTGAGAACTAAAATGAATATTAGTAATCACTGTTAAGTCAAACGTTAATACAGTTACTATGTACCTTTCTAGTCATCCTTTATTTTATTTTATCAAAATTATTTAAGAACAATTCTGAGAGGATTTTCTATGTAGATTCATTTCAGGTTGATCAGTTTCTGTGTCCTTCCATTGAACTGTTCATCGGTAGCAATGTGCATGTTTGTAAATGGTAGATAAAAACAGTAAAAGCTACACACTATTAAGGCACCATGTGATAAAAGTTGGATTTTAAAAATATGCATTACTTTACTTGAATTCTTGGGTTGATTACAGAATACAGCATGTCAAAATTGCTATTATTTTTTGTTGTTTATTAAAGATCAGAAATCATTGCCTTTTATCTTTTGAGATAATTATCCTACTGGTACTCAAATACTGTAAATTTTGTAATTTTTGGACATCATTGTGCTAATTATCTTATAAATCTGAATTGTATACCAGACTGAGTCATTTAAGATCATACTGGGGATTTTTTTGTATATTACAGATTAGACAGTTCATGGTTATTTCTTAGATATATTAATTATAAGGCATATCTAACAGATTTTCCAGTATCAAGCTGTACCAGTTGCTTCTTTATTTTTGCTTCTCGTCTATGATGTATGATTGATCATAAAATACTTCATTTCATTTCATTTATAAATTTGAATATGAAAAGCATATTCAGGTCAAAGACCATCACTTTAATGACATTTGGTATCCATTTAACTTACTAGATTTTAGGAAAAAAAATTTACTAAACCCATATACCTATATTAGTAGAGACAGAACAGTGTGGAATTTTTTCTGTAAAATTTCCATGAGCCTTCTGAATAGTGAAAGAACCTTATTGAAATATTTATCCAGATTTGGGTTTGCAGTTAAAGTGTCATAGGATACATAATAAAATAATACATAATAAAAGGAAAAGTCTTTTGAAAGGAGGGGGTAAAATTACATCATGAAATACTGAAAGGACTTGACAGCAATGGAAATTATTCTGTATGGTGGATATTTTCACAATAGGATACATTGCTTTTCATTTTGATTAATTCTATCATTTGCTCAGCAAAATGTAATCTATCTCCATATTAAATAAGAACATTAACTTGGAGTTCTGACTGAATATAGAAAATATTCATCTTTTGAATGTGATTTAGTACTTCAAGTGATTTAAGTTGAGAAAATCTTCTTAAGAAAATCTTAAGTTGATTAAAAATCTTCAAAATATTTCTGTATAGAAGAAATATTTTTAATAAAGTTATGAAGGGAGAGTAATATACTGAAAACAAATAAGTAAAAAAAAAAATCAACATTTCTATATCCAGTGTGTTCTGTTTGCTCTTTGAAGAATATCATCATTGAATGCTCACCTACATATTCCAGCTTTGAAACCACATTGGCTTTTCTTTCTTCTTTCTTCCCAGAGTAACTTTGAGAAATAATTGTGACTCTTTCTCTTGAGTCCAACATGCCCACTTAAATAAAACTTATTAAAATCTATCTGTACATAAATATTCCAGACTGCAGAACAGTATGAAACAATTTCATATAAAGAACAGAAAAATGTCATTTCAGTTAAAGATAGTAAGAAAAGGCTCTGGTGAAGAACAATTGGGATATTACTTTTATTATCACTAGGGAAGTTCACTATATGAAGTTGAATTCTTTACAAATACATAATTATTTTACATGCCTAAGAATTTTGTGATTTGATGGGTTTTTTATTGAACTGTTTGTAGTATAGTCTGCCGTAGGTACTAACAACTCTTTATTTGGAAAACTTCAGTACCTTGTATTACTGGCATTATTTTAAGCCGTTACAGGATCACTTTACTGTGTAGGTAAAAATTATGACAGCTTTATTTTGTGATTCATATAGTATTTTTACATAAAGATAACCAGCAGACTATAACTATGACTACTGCAAAAATATTTTAAACATTGAGTGGCAATCAGTATCTCTTGCAACAACAATCTTAGCTACAAACCCTGGAGCTTTAGATTCTCATTTTGTATATGTTAATCAATCAGTATTAATCGTATAAAAAAGCCAATGATTTACATATATATATGTATGTTTGTTTTATGTTAACGCTTATAGAAACAAAAAATAATTTGTGTGATGTTTATATTTTCTTTTTAAATAGGAAGTTGAAAAAATCTGGATTAAAATTACATCACTCTGTCTTACTGAGTCACGAATTACAGCCGATGAAACAATACAGCAACTGTTTGTAGAATGCAGATTAAACAATTTCCTTGCAGAGGAGACCCCACTGTCTCTTCCAAAACCAACAGGTGGTCAGAGGATTCACTATAACTATAGCACTGGTAAGTCTGATGTATTCCTGACCAGGCTTGGTTATTTTCTTAAATTCTGTCTTGTGAAAATACCTGCAATAAATCCTACTTCCTATATATTATAGCTGCATTTCTCCATGTTCCGACTCTATGTGCCTATTTTCCAAATATTTTGGGAAATACTAAAAGTGATTTTAAAGAAATGAGGTAAGTATGCAATTATCAAGTATAATATGAAATGCTGAAGGAGGCTGGTATATAAAATGGTAACATCACAACAGATTTAAATATGTTGGTAGTGTATAAATTTCAAAATTAGACTATACATAACTAAAATCTATATATTCTTTTTATAAGAGCATGATGATAATTTTTCTATCGGTACATGATGATGCAGCAAAATAAAAACATTCTAACCTGTACATCTAAAACACAATTGAAAAGAGAGAATATGTAATTAGACTTCATCACTACTTGCAAATACTCAGTGTTCCTTTAATGATAACTTTTTTAATAGGGGAACAGATTCATCCATGTTTCATGCTAATACATTGCAAATTAGTATTTTATATTTACACTAATGGCATACATAGAACAATTGTAATAATTTATTATTCTCTTGTTAATTATTTTCCCGGCTATTTCATCATATTTCAATTATTCATTAACTTTTTCCTTCCTGGTAAAATTTTATTTCATTTAAGATTCAGCCTGAGTGCTTCAGTCTTGGACTTTTAGCTGAGCGTATTCTGAAGTAGGTGAATCAATTTGCTATTTCTGACAAACCCTTAATACAGACATTCAAATTAAGCATTCTTTTAAAAACAATTACATAAAAGTGGTTTTGCAGAAATGATGTCTCAGTGAGATCTTTAAAATTGCTACCATCTACAAACCTGATTGTAGAATGCAATTTGCCAAAGAATTCACTCATTTAGATCCTTCTCTTACTCAAACTATTGGTTCGTTCCATGTGTAGCTGAAAACTGAAAGGAATTGGAAATGTCACATTAACCACTATGCTGGTATGGGCTATGCTGGCATTGCCCACTTGAGAGGAAATATAGATGGCAGATTTTCTCCGATCCATTGGTCTGAAAATTTCTCGTATTGAAATACTGTGGCAGGAAATGAGGACTAAATTACTGAGGCTGTCAAAAAGGATAAGCACTTTGCCATACGTTCTCACTATCTCTAGCTTCCTTAGTGGAAGAAATACAGTAAATCACTTCTAATACAAAGCAGTAAAGACTCCTGGCTTTTAAAATCATAGCTGCTATTGCCATTAATAGAAAGCAGCAGCTCTGTGACATGCTTAGATGCTGCTTACATCTTTTTTGACAGTATTCATTAGATCACATGATTCTAAAGTTGTTTTTCCATAAAAAAGAAGAAGAAGAAGAAATAAACGCTTATTTTTCTTTGTTCTTTTCTTCATGTTCTTTCTTCTAATAGGTGAAAACCAAATTATAGCCGGTTTTATTAATTTATTTGCTTTGCAGTGATAAATGTTGATAAGGAAGATAATCATGCAGAAAGAGAGTATCTCAAGTCAATTCTTCTAAAGCCAGATCTACCTGCTGACAGGTACAGATTAATGCTGAAAACCACTGTTATAGGTCTTTGTAAATGCTCGTGGTTTGCCTTTCTGTTTGTCTTTACAAGGTAACCCTAAGTAGATAAATACATAACTAACAGGAAAAGAAAGAAATGTTTCAGCTAGGAATGATGCATGCATTCTGATGTGGCTGCTGGTCTTCTTCTCTGAATAGGTACATATGGAATGGAATATTGCATACTCATCTAATGTTTATTTAAATCTGTAGTTTAGTTTTTCAGAGAAATTGTTTCATTGGTGATTTTTTTTTAACAACTTTGTTTTGCAAAAGAGAGTTTCTATATTCAATCATCAGTAGTCTATCAGTAATGAATTTGAAAAGCACATATCTCTGATGGTAAAGTAGTACATTTGTTGCTTTCTAAATTCAGAATACTATAAGAAGAACTTAAGAACACAGGAAGTGTTCCTTGGCCCCATAATTTAAAAAAACGAACAAAAAAATGTGTGTGTATGTATATATACATATATGGATGTAGCAGACATCTATTATATGAATACATATGAGAAAGAGTATCAGTTAAACTTGTCCTATTTCATAGTAATAAATTTGTTCTTTTTTTTTTTTTCATTGAGATACCATGTGCATTACTTGGAGAGAATGAATTACATACTGTCATTCTGTTTCTTTTTGAATGTAAATCTTCATTAAAATGGAACAACTGTTAATTTAAAGATCCATTTAATTTGCAGAAGATTAGGATACCTGCTGATTGCATTTGAAGTGTCAGTCATATGTAAATCTTACTCACAAATCACTGATTCACTCTGAGTGACAGTGATCTCTCTTCATTCCATATCCCTTATTTTGCCATCTGTATTAGGAAAGTTGCTAAACATATGCTACTAAAGCATGTTTTACTAAGATTTAACAATAACAAGGATAAAATACTCCTTTTATTTTTTCCTGTCAGATAATTTAGTTGCTAAAGAAATTTCCCTGTCCAGCAATCCAGGACCTCTGTGGCAGTCACACTTCACCACCTGATCTGGGACTGAGGTCCCTTTGCAGCTACACCCCCCATGCTGTCCCAGTCAAGACCAGTTGCCCTCACCAAATCCAGCCCAGGTTTCCAGTCACTCAGTCTTAGAGGTCCCAATCCTTAAAATAATTTAATTTTCGGTGCAGTAATTAAATAAGACAATAGCAGTTCAAACTGGAGCCTCAGATGAGGGACCCTGAACAAAGGAACCCCTTGGGCTTTTGTACCCTCACAGGATAGTCTGGGGGTCATCAGCTCCTGCCTTGTCCCCGAGTGAACCCAGTCTGACTGGGCCATCGGTCCCTGGGCCCTTTGTTACGCTAAGGGATGTTCACAGCCTCTCCTTGGGCTGGGCTTCTCCAGTGCTCAACCTGCAGCTGCTCCTGAGCCACCTGCACTGGATGGACTCCTCAACACGGTGCAACAACAGCTGGTCTGTGTGCTGCAATTTCCCCTATGAATACTTAGATAATTACATTAAATATTTTACAAACCTAAGGTAAAAATGAAGTAAAATAACAGCAGTGAGCTTTTTTTCAGAACAGAAGCATTAATCTCTTACATGTGTCATCATGTCACTACTGTCCCCTGTGTTACTAAGTAGGTTGTTTCCTACAGTTATCAGAATGTCTGGTTTGGCTTGTGCTGAAATTTCAGTTCAGTATTGAATAAATAGGAAGACAGAAGTTCATCAGTAGTCCAGTCTTCCACTTTATCATTGCAAGGAACCAAGAAACAAAATTTATGGAAAGATTCTGCCCATACACCAAATGTTTCCACCTCTATGCATTTTAAACTTGTAAAATAGTGTGGTTTTTCTTTTTTTATCATTTGTAATTTGATTTTTGACCATTTTTGAAAACAAAATACCTTTTTTTTTGTATGTGTGTGTGTGTTTAGCCTAAAATTTACAGTGGTCAGTGACCCCCCAGAAGATGAACAGGATCTTGAATGTGAGGATATTGGGATTGCTTATGTCAGTTTAAAAGAGATATTTCAGAAGCAAAGAGATATCATTGAGCAAGATATTGATGGTAAGTTTTAAAGATCACTTTCTTCTAAGCTTCTGTAGCCTAAAATTCATTGAATCTCTGCTTTGCAGGCATTGCTGTGCAAGTAATTGTTTGACATTGTTTCAATAAGAAATTCTTTAATACTAACTAATACCTTCCACATTTGTTTGCAGAAGTCTGCAAAAACTATCTATTAGTGTTATTCCTTTAAGTCTGTTTTTTAAAAAACCCAAACCAAACAGCATTCTGACCTCATAGAAATCAGTTCATAAAACCTAAGAACTTTCAAGCCATGACCACTGCTATAATGCTCTCTTTTCTACAACACACTTCATGGTGGTAGGACAATAAATATGTATTTTGTATAAAAATTTGTTTTGTATTAATTTTTTTTCAGCAATTTTGTATTACTAACATCTGCATTTTATTTGAAATTACATTATGACCCCAAGCACCTCAAGTCTGTTTCCTCCATATGAAACATGTATGAGACACTATGAAATACTGGTGGTTTTGATTAGGAATCAGTTTTAGTGAGCACCCTTCTGTAACAGACTGTGACCAAAATGATTGTGACTCATTACAGCAAGGTGATGTGAGTAGGAAGTGTGGAATCTTCCATTTCCTGGGGTCATAGGATGCATTTTTATAACACTGATAAGAAGACTCAAGAAGGCTTTTTGGTCCTTTTGTTGACTATGACGATAATATTCTCCTTGCTCAATTTCCTGTTCCCCGTGGCAGCAGGAACATGGTTGCCAATGGTGCACTTTTCCCTTTCCTTTTCCTCTCAATCCTCTTTCCCCCTTGGGGTGAAGCTTAGTGAAGAAGCTGAAAGCACCTCTGTTATAAAAGAGTCACTCTCCTTTCCCAGTAAGTGAACTAGTTTAATGGTTGGATGAAGAGCACTCATGTTCACAGGGTGCCTTTTGCAATAGCAAGAGTTCTAGTGAGCCCCAGCAGAATGCCAGGCAGATGTAGCTTTATTACTTCTACTGCTGTGTCTAATTCCTGTACCTTGAGCAATGGGGAGCTGAGTAATGAGGGAAAAAAATAGGCTTTCTTATCCATTCTCATTATCATGCCTGATTTGCATCCATGTTGTTGCTAAAATACTCAGTTACAGGAATGCGATAAGGAAAATTCTAAGAATCAAATCTCTATACTCTGGAAAAACAATATACAGATTTAGTGTGTTTCCTGCTGTGGCTCAGTAACTTAAGCTTTTCTCCACCAATAACTTTTCTCCAAGTACGAAAGCTCCTCCAAAAACGTGTTTTATAATCTCTCTATGGAAAATTGATTTTTGTTCTGGAATTTATGACCATACCTCCCAATGTCATAATTCCCATTTACTAAGATTGATTAATTTTGTAAGTGTAATTTTTGAGTCACTTTTCACAAAACTCTTAATATTCCTTATCCTCATCTGAGAGAATTATTAGGACCAGAATGACTGGGTTTTATTACTAGTTATTGTAAACCAATCATTACCATGTAATGACAACTACTTCAATATTGTAGTAAGTCAGTAATTCAGTGTTGTAGTATTGTATTGTAATAATCGTCAAACATTTAAACTAATTTTTACTTTATGTTACTTATATCTATGAAAATTATAATAAGGGCTAGAAATGCTTTTAGTCTTTTTCCCTTTTGCACTTCTTCCCTTTCCTGCATATGCTGTACAGTTTTTTGGGGATTTTTATTGCATCCATAACACAGAAATTTGCATATTCTGAAAATTAAGATGTTTCAGAGAATTTAAATTAATTTTATGTTAAAATATGTCAGATCATGGCAAAAGAATATATCTGTATATTTTCATGGATGAAATAATTGTAGAAGAATCAGTTCTTCAGATGTGGACACAGATGTCAATTAAACAATAAACAGAATTCCTAGGTAGTGTTGTACATGTTCTCTGAGTTGGATATTGGTTTAAGGAAAAATAATAAACCTAGACACAGGGAAATTCATAGGACACTAGTGCATGAAGATTAAGTCACTCAAGTTAGATACCAAACTTCCTTTATTTTTTTTTATGATTGCAACCGTATATCTTTTTCATATTTTGTTCTTTCACTGCTGATTGTGTCAAAGTGTTTTATGTGAAATTTGAAGCAATTAAATTAAATTAAGCAAGAAGATGGTTGAAAAATACTATAGTCAAAACATCTAACAGTGTATCTCTGAGATAAAAGAACAGTATAAAAAGTGAGAAAATAGAATTAATGTTATCTTCGGATATAATTAACTACAGTTACCCTGCTCATCTTTTAAGTAAAAAGGATACAATCCCCTGAAGTCTGCTCTTGAAGTTGACAGTTTACTGAGTGATTTATCAAGCCTGATTTGGACCCATCCATCATACACAATGTAGAAAATGCATTAATTGGTGTATTTTTACTTAAAACTATTCCTATGTATGTAGATATGTCTTTAATAGAATTTGAAACATCTTTATTGTGAAAAAAAAATATTTTAAATAGACAGTTATTATATCAATAGTTTCCTTTTTAAGTTAATTTCAACACTGATACTTTTATTGATGTATATCCTAGTTCTAAGAGTGGTAATTTCCAGTACCCTGAGGACCTGAACTGCAAGTTTATTTATTTATTTAGTTAGTTAGTTAGTTATTTTAGCATATGTTAGTTGCTCTTTAATCTGTCCAAACACTAAGGAAAATTATCAAAAGTTAAATAGATAATGCTGTTTTCTGATGTTTCCTTTCTAGTTTTTGATTCACAAGATGCCAGTGCAGTAATTGGAAAGCTCACAGTGACAGTGGAAGCCCTCAATGCACTGCGTTCAGTCAATGAAGAATGCAAAAATTATTAGGAGGCAGGAAAGGAACATTTGCCTATGGAAGTTCTTGCTCCCAGTGTAAAGATTCACTTGGTGGTTCCTTAAAAATGAGATCTTTGTCATTCTTAGGGTTAATGGATTTAATGTAAAATGTACATGAAAAAGATGCTTGATGTCCAGGTGTTACGTTTTGTACACTTTTCAGTCTGTTTTCTTATTTTTAAGGTCCTTGCCAAATCATACTTCAGGCTCTCGACACTTGATAGTATCGCAGGTTAACTTAGTTCCAAAAAAATTTGATTTCAAATGCAAGCTTGCTTGTAAGTTTTCAGATACCAGTTTAGGGTATTTTGTCTAAGGAGGTAAGTGGTGGTAAGCTTTCAAACAGAAATGCTTGTAAATTCTTATTAAGAGTAGTTCTATCACAGTACTCTGTCAGAATACAATCATTTGTGTTAGAAGTGACCTCAGGTAGTTTTTAGTCCAGTTACGGCAGAATTAGGTATTATGTTAGGCCATGTTGCTCAGGGCTGTATCCAAACTGGTCTGAAAACCTTGAAGGACAGGGACTGCTTAGCTAGTCTGCACGACCTGTTCCAATGCCTGACTGTTCACATAGTGAAAAAAGGAGATGCATTTCTGATGGGGTTCTGCTGGAGCCCAGGCTAGCTCAGAGAAACACACCAGCAGCTGCGCCAGGTGTGGGGAACTACCTTGACTTTATCGGTGCCAACCGAAGGCAGAACCTTTGAGCCTTGTGCTCAACAGGCAGGATTGTCAGCCACAGTCAAGGAGTGGGTAGAGGAGGAGGAAGAGGCTCTCGGTGTGAGGTCCCAACAGAGAAAGGTTCATTGCTGAAGGGAGTAAGGGACCCAAGAGCCCCGAGCACAGCTCTGCTCGGGATTTTATAAAGCAGCAACTCAACGGGAGGGTACAAACAAACAGCCAATGGGGAATCCAGGAGGGAGAAGCGAAGGGAGGGCGTAACAATGGAGGAGCCATCAGGGATGAGGGGGAATAGAGGACTGGTCACGCAGGCCAATGAGGCCTCGAGGCTTAGGGGATTGACAGGGAAGGATCCAGAACAAAGGACAGGGTTTACAATGATGGACAAGGGGCAGGGTTGTGGTGACAGGCAGGGAAGGTTCAGGAATAAGGGCTTGGGTTTACAATGAAGGTCAGTTCAGTAGAGGATACAACTCTTAGGGGCAAACCAACTTGGGAGGAACAGGGGGGAGCACAAGAATGAACCGTATAACTGACCAACTTATACATAAAACCACAAATAAACGATTGCCACAACACATTTCTACACATTACTTCAACCCAAATTGAAGCCAAACCTAGATCTAAGCACATGGAGCAGGTTTTGCACTTAATGCACCATCTAATAATTTAATTGGTTGGTTTTTTTTTTAATTCTAGGGATGGCATGTTTGTCATTTGTTTCAGCCATTTAACATTTTGCACAGAAATAAAAATAACAAAGCATTTTAGTGTTGATTTTCATGCTTTGCAGTATGCCATCTAATTGTCATCCAGTTTTGTGAAGCAGGTGACAAGAAATAGCTGTTACTGTTGTCAGTGTGATTTGCTCAGGTAATGTTTCTGTACATTTCAGTGGTAAACAATTTGTTATGTTTTATTCCTGGGTTTGGAGTTTTTTTATATTAGTCTTAGATTATTTTAAGAGTAAGGATAACTGCAGCAGTGTAAGACAGGTCTTCCACACAATTAGCAATTACTTGTTTCACATTTTTGTGGATTTGAAAAATAATCTATTTTCTACTTAGACAAATTCTTGTTAAACGCAGAATTATTTCCATATGTATTAAAGTCACAAGAACTGAACCATTCTTGAAAAAATGTTACAAAAATATGGTCCTTCTATTGCTACCAAAAAAATCAATAAACTTTCTTTTGCTTGTTATAAACCAGTGGTTATTCTGATTACCTACTCATAAGTATAAATACCTACACAAACTGACAGCCTTTCACTTCAGTGGTAATAAGCAACCAAACTTCACCTTAACATGAGGAAGAACTTTATACTGAGGGTGGCAGAGCACTGGGACAGCTTCCATGAGAGGTTGTGGAGGCGCCCTCTCCAGAGACATTCAAGACAAAAACCTAGCCGGACATGTTCCTGTCACCTCCAGGTGACCCTGCCTGGAAGGGGTGATTGGACTAGATGAGCTCCAGAGCTCGTTTACAACCCCCAACTAACTATTCTGTGAATATATTTCAAATCAATGCCTTTTACTGAGGATACATAAAGGTAAGAAATTGATGTAGCTGGACCTGTGAAATTTGCAGCTACTGAAAGGGCCATTGCAAGTCCAGTGGAGCCACCCAGACTCCTTTCAGTTGTGCTAGTGTAGAAGAGGCAGAGAAGCCAGATCTTGCAGGTTCTGTGGGCTCTGGTAGGGTTTGGGAGAGAACTCATTTCTCAGGGTGCTGGTGTGCTGGGAGGGGATTGGAAGGGGGACAGCATGGAGGGTGTGGGTCCAGCTGGACTCGATGACCCTCCCACCTCAGGATATTCTAAGTTTCTACGCATAACACATTTCAAAAATACTATGAATCTTGAACATTCCTTTAATAAAGTTCAAAGATTAAAACAAATATAATAATAAAAACTATTTATCCAGTATTAACATGTCTTTTTCTTGGCTTTTTTTTTTTTTCAGTTTTGGCCATGCTGTCTTTGTCTCCTTTTATTATCTTCAGTACTAGTGTCATTGTCACAACTTTGCCATTTTCTCTTTCTTTCATCCTGCTTGGTGCACTTCACAGTCACTTAGATGTGGCCAATTCAGGAGAACTCTGTGCAGTCTTAAACTGTGCAGTTTTATTCTGATAGGGAGAAAAGGATAAGGTTGAAGGTACTGCTAATAAGGAAATTGTTAACCCATTGGACTCTGTACTGTATACCGCTATACTAAAACATAGTACATTTAGAGAAATAGGAACTTGAGTTGTTAACATTGTGAAGAGGAAATTTGAAAGAATTTCGAATGTATTATGACTTACACAAAAGATAGACAAACTATAAAATAATACAGACTGTTTGAGAATAAAATTGTTTTATGACAACAACTAGTATAGTTCAGAAAAGCAGACAAATTTTTCACAGCAATGTTAGAACAGAGACATAATCTGATTAAAAGATAAATTGCCAGCTAGTCCTCACTTAAAGTAAGCAAATATGGTATACCTTTCCTTTCTTCATCTCTGATAAATATTTGTAACTGCAGTGCTTATTGGTACTGTAAAGAACTTGAACATCTCCAAATTCTTCAAACCTGGTTTAACCAACTTTAAAGTCAATGTGGAACAAAGCATTCCAACAAGGACCTTGAAAGATTCCCAAGTGAGCAACGTGCCTAACAACCTGCCCAGGCAAGATGAGGTAGACTTGTTACAGCATACTAGTGATCAGATCACTTTCTGCTGAAGCTTCAACAAACTATCATGTGAGACCACACTGCAATTCCATCCTCTCTGGCAAGCAGAAAATGAGGGGAAGTTGTTTGTGTGTGCTGGTCTGCCAAGTCTGGTCTCACAGTGTACTGCCTTGCTACTGAGGAGGAGGTTCATCAGCAAGCACAGAGGGTAGGTGGACTTGAGCCTTCCAAAAGGAAGTAGAGGAGATTGGAAAGTTGGAACAAGCACCAGCTCTTCTCATGGCACAGCCTGGGAAGATGGGAGGGCAGGCCCCCACCCCATAGGTGGGGAACAGATTCTCTCCATTTTTATGCTCAGATTGCAGCCAATGAGGGTAATTGATCCAGACTGCCCCCCTTCCATAGTTCCAAGGGCTGGCCAGTCCCCAGGCAGACCGGGTGAGCAGGACTGTCCAGGCTGTCCTCATGTTAAAGGCTGGGTTTCCTCAGTCCTACCAGTCCACAGACTCATCAGATTCAGAAGCTTCGTGAAGTGTTTGGGGAATAGGTTTGATGCACAGGTTTCCACCCGAAGAGACCTGTTTCCTTGTTTTGTGGAATTTTTCAAACAGAAGAGATTAAGGTGATAATGGTCCAGTGCACCATAGTTTTGTAGAGGGGAAGTGAAGTGTGGGTTCTTGTCATCTACTGCGGTGAAAGTAAATCATGAAGGAGAGACCTACATAGGCATGTGAAGGTTTAGGCCAGAAATCCTCAAACTGTTGTTTCCCAAATTTGGGCAGTAGTGATTGATTTTAGGTTTGGTCTTAGCACATTTCAAACATCTGCTGGGCATTTCTGAATTGAGAAGAACCAAGTGATTTGCCCAATGGAATTAGCTGTATGTGAAGAAGCTGTTGCCTGTGTGGTTGTAGTCCAATGAGGTCAGTTTGTCCCACCATTTGGAACACAGAGCAGAAGAGAGCTTGTAGACTTCAGCATTTCTAGCTTTCTTAAGCTATATACCTTTAAGATATTCTTGCAGGAAGAAAAGAGTTTGGTTTGGTTGATCATGTTATTAGAGGATGCTGAAGTGTCCTAATACTGTGCTTATAGCGCATTTTGAGACCTGAAGTAAGCACTGTTTTTTTGCAGAAATGCAAAATGCATTCAGCTTCATAAAAACACTCCCGAATTTTTAACACAAACTCACCACCTCTTGAAAGCCAGGGTGATCATGAAGTAAACTGTTGTTCACTAGCAAAGGGGTAACAGGAAATGGAGAATTTCCAGAAAGTTCTTGATGCCTAATGGAAGAACAAGCAAATGTGCAATGATTAAATGTCCACCACATACTGGTTATCAGAGTGCTGAGACTTAACTCTTGGGCTGTAATAGGACTATTCAAGAGGACAATTAAGATATTAGCAGCAGGACTTATATGGGAAAAGGAGAGGGGAGGGAGAGGGAGAGGGAGAGGGAGAGGGAGAAGGAAAGGGAGAGGGAGAGGGAGAGGGAGAGGGAGAGGGAGAGGGAGAGAAAAGATACTCAAAGGCTTAATTAATGACAAATCCTCATATGTGCATGCACAAAAGGGTACTAGATTTCACCATGGGAATTCAGCTTAAATACTTAATCTGGGGTGTTCAGACTTCCATTATAACAGGTCTATTATTATTATTCCTACACTCACTAATCATCTTGCATGTTAAACAACCAAACATTAAAATTAACTGCAGCCTGTCACAAGCCCTCGGTAAGGATGCAATGACAAGATGTTATTTTGATGAAAAACCTCAAGATTGCTCTACCACATCAACTCACTTTTTTCTACAATTTTTTAAAAATTATATTCATATGGTTCATTCACAGGTGATCTTTGTTACCTGTCTGCAGAAGAATCTAAGTCAATATGGTGTTCAAAACCATCTGTACAACTGTCTAGTTCTGGTGAGTGAGAACTCCCTGGAAATAAGACAAGAGTGTAACAACTATTCAGTTATGACAATTCAATTAATAAGTTACGAACCACAGAAAGTGTTTTGTGTTATCTGTGGTGTGCTATTAGATCTAAGGTAGTATACAAAAGTGCCATTTTATTTTATGGCAGATAATCAATAGCATCATTTTAAGCTTGAAAATTTTCATTTCTCATTTATTCACTTACAGAAGCACAAATCTGGGTTGTTGAAGTAATAGAGAACAGCATTGTCACCCAGTTACAAACACAGGAGATGCTTCTGATTTTAGGAACCACAGATATTCTGCTTAAACCCAGCTCTGGTCTGTAGAGTCTTTGAAAGAAGCAGTGGCACAGCAGGAACACGAGACCTTACTGTCTGAGTTGCAAACGATGGCTGGTTGTTGGCTTGTTCAAAGGTTCAGCTCCACATACATAAAATTAAAAATATGACTTTGAATTTAATATATTCTTTGAACTACGATCTCTTCCCTTTAAAACAACAGTGCTGATAACTCGGTGGCTTTAGTCTAAAATGATCAAAGAGCTCAACAGGGGCTGTCTGTACTGAATCAACTTTTTCTGTTAGACTGCAAGGTAAAGTCACACCTCAATTCCTAAATGTAATCTGGCATGAAAACCTGGCTTGCTGTTTTCCATACAGCAGTGTCTGACAGCTTGCAAGTTACACTGTTCTGACCCAATCTATTGTATTCTCTAAGTAAACATAAAAATACAAGGACTGAATCCTTCCCTATGCAAAAGCCACAGGAAGTCTTGTTTCTTAGCAAAAAAAATAATTTTTCCAACTAAAAATTGTTATCTTTGTAAAAGACTATAGGATGCAAAACATACCCCTCCAATACTGCACGGTGATTGGTCTTCCATACAAATGGATTCCATCCAGCAGAGCTTTTGCATAAGGCACCGATACTTTGTGTTTAAAGCAGACATATCCAAAAGACTTAGGTTTTCCTTCCTTGTCCTCACAAATCATCACTTTGGTTAATGGTCCAGCCTGAAAGAAATTTTGGTTATTTAGCAGAGACTGACACTTCATTGTGTTTGGAATATTTAATTATTTCTCTTCAGCCATAGTCCGAAACCATAAGTTTCTTACCTTGAAAATGTCTCTCCATATTCACAAATGATTCTGAGCCTTCTACAAATGTTTAGTCTTTCATAACCAGAATTTTTATTATTTTTAGAATGCCATACCATAATAATTAGCTTGCCAAAGGGGAAGATTAATTTACTAACTTCATAGCAAAAGCTACCTTCCAGTCCATAAATAAATAAATAAAAGCAGTTGGATGGCTGCTGCAGATTATGCAGAATGTTGCCTCAGATGAGGCGTAGCGACCTGGTTCGTGAGTGACACAATGGCTAAACTTACAGGCCTGTTGGGCTAATCACACGTGAACACCAATGTGGTGGACGGTGAAGAGCGTTTATTTCCGGTGTGCAAGGTTTTATATGACCGAGTTATGATTACGTCATCACCCTGATATTATGGGTTATAGAACTTTGGAGAAAGAGGGGCCCTATCTTCCCTTACATCGCGAGATCTTCCGATCGGCTTTCCCTAGCTAACCACATCAGCAGAAGAATAGTGCAAAACTGTGTTCTAAGAGCATCTTTGTCACTTTTGCATTTTGTATTGTATTACTCATGTCCTCTAAGAAGATAAACTTTCTTAAATTCACATTTACAGTTATACAGTAGACTACTATTTAGTCTTGAAAACAGGTAGGAATTAAGCTCAGGCTTCTAACAGGTCCAACTACTTTGTGTTTCTACACTCTCACTGAAGGGTTGGGGTTTAAAGGGACCTCTGGAGAGCATGTTGTCCAGCTCTCTTAACTGAACATCCCATTGGTGGAATTTTTCTTCTCGAGCATTGGAACAGCATTTCGATATAAAACCGTACCCGTCTTCTACCTGCAGGAAGAGCTCGTAGAGGATCTCTTCCCTGACCCGGCTCTCCAAGTTCCCCACGAGCAGAGTCTGCTCCGCCGCCTCGGACCGCCCCGGCGACGACATAGAGCCTGCGGGAACCTGCGGGAACCTGCGGGAACCTGCGGGAACCTGCGGGAACCTGCGGGAGTGCGAGAAGAGCGTCCCAGCTGCGGGGAAGCTGCGCCCCGGGACACGGTGTGAGGGGCCGGGCCCGGCTCCTGGCAACGCTGGAACGCGGACGGGCGGGTGTCGCGTCTGTTGGTGACACCACCCCCAACATCTGCTTGTGACACCGTACTTAATCATTCGATGTATACTAATGATGGTAAATACATTATAAATATGGTAAATACATAAATAAATAAAACCAGGAAGATTTTCTCTTCTATTTTTGCCACTGAATCTTAAGTCCTAGCAGGGCTAACTGGTGCAAAACAAGCCGACTAACCCTGAAAAACAAACCACCTCTCCTGACCAGTATTCACAAGTGTGTTCGCACGATCCACTCCTGCTATTAACATTGCAACGAGCCCTTACTGTAGAAGAGGCTGCAAAGAGAGTGAGTACTCAGCTCACGTGCAAAGACAGAGGGGTTTATCAGATGGAACTTCGTGCCAACCGTACAGAGCCATCTACTTCTGCACTGTATTACAGTGTTGGCTTGAACAGCAGAAATTATTTTATACCATTGAGCATTGGAACAACGGACTGACCTAATCTCTGCAATAAACTGCTGGACTTGTCCAGTCACGGCTGGGCAAATGAACAGAGACTTTTGCTCCTGATGAGCTTCCAGTGGCAGTGGGTCACAGGCAGAAAGCCGGGAAAAAGAGTGTACCCAAAGCCCGGCTGCAGAAGCAACCCCTGGGCAGGGGAGCACTGAGCTCACGGCACAATGGGAATTCCTGCTCCAAGCTTTTTTCCTGTAGAAACACCAGATCAATCGCTAACCCTACTAGTCACACGGCTTTTGTGAACATCAGTCAGTCAGTGTTCCTGAGCCGATGTGGTTCTTTACATTGACGGCACATTGAGTCCTCCCAGACAACTGGCAAGAAGCAGGGAGTGTTTCCCAGCTCCCATTAACCTGCAGGCAGTGCCGAAGGGCATCAGTTGAGACAAAAGGAGGCCCACCTGCACCTCTGCCTCTCCCAGCTTGACAGGACTGGGCTGGGCTGAAAATTGCTCTGACCACAGAACCAGCAGAAAGTCTCCAGCACAAAGGGACACAGGCAGCAGAAGAGCAACTCTACAGGAGCTGTTTCTGGCAGACTGGGCTTGAATAGTGCCAGGGTGAAAAATCAGAGCAATGATTTCTGGAAAGAGCTGCACTGCCGAGTGCTACCAGAGCCCAAGAACTTGTCAGACAGAATATTTCACCTCTGTGGATCAAAGTAAAAAAGCCTTGTATCATCGGTAGCCTCAGGGAATAAATGAGAATTGAGCACATGAAATGCATTGCATGAACTCAATACCTGGGGTATGTGTGCTGGAGATGAACACAATTATTGATACTTCAAATAACCAAAAACATTAACCCAACAGAGGAGTTAGGCTGCTCATTTCAATGAGCTTGCACCACAGGGTGCAAAATTTAAACTTTTAACTTTACCAGCATTCACAAAATCATAAACTTTGCATGGAATCAGTTACACTGCTATTGAAGTATAAATTTATTCCCCTGAAGAAAAGGGGCGGGGGGGGGGGGAAGCAGTACAAGGCACTTCACAATACTGTGATTATTTTCACACAGACCACTGTTATTGCAATAATATCCATAAACAAGTACCAAATTTCCCTCAAAAGAAAATGAAATGCCAGTAAAAATTTTATGCAAGTCTTCATTCTCTTCAAATGGCTTTGGAAGTCTAATACTTCTGCATCTCAAGGCACAACAAACATTTTCAAAGGAGGGCTCAGACCAAGAAACCCTAATCTCTAATAGCAGACAAATTCCTTACAGCATTCCCTCTTCAGGGAATACAGACACTGAGCGTATTTCAACTCATGGTTCATGTCGATTCCTTAGCAGTCACTAAGGAAATTCACTTTAAAATAATCTGCAACTATTGTAAAATTACTTCTCCACAAACCAATCTGTCTCTACGTTTATGAACATCAAGACAGAGAGAGCAGGAGAATGACAGGACTGAAGCAGAGCAATGGGGACGGGAAAAAAAAAAAAAAAAAAAAAAAAAAAAAAAAGCAACAGGCATCAGGCCAGAGCAACAATAAAAACCAGGAGGAAGGACAGACTGATATAGAAACCAAGTGAGGGACAAGGAGTGAGAAAGTGGGATACTGTGAACGGAAGAAGGACAGGGAGCAGGATGCTGAGAGACAATGAGAACAACAGAGAATAACAGAGATAGGAAGAAGAAAAAAAAGAGGGCCAGATGGGGTGAAGTAATAAATACCAGGGTCGGGAAATAGCAAAAGGATCAGAGAGAGTAATAAATGAACAGGAAAGTGGAAAGGGAAAGTGAGATCCAGAACTGAAAAAAAACCAGCAACATTTAGGGTTGCAAAACAAAAGGATAGGGAGAGAAACAAAAGGAAGGAGGGAAACAAATAGGAAGACAGGGACACACTGCAGTACACAGAGGAAAAAAATGTCAAAGAACAGGCCAGACAAATTGTGAGGGGAAAAGAGGCAGATTCAACTCAGAACAAATTGATGGAGAAGGAAAACACAGCTGTAAGCTGCAGAAGAGAGAGGATGAAAAAGGGAGAGGGAACTGATGTGGGACAGAAGCACAGAGAGAGAAAGTAGGAGTGTGGTAGAAAGATATATTAGAGAGAAAAGGAGAGATATAGGTAAGCAAAATTAAGTAGTCACAGCAGTATGTAAAAAAAGGGGGGCAGGAGAGAACCAAAGAGGTCTTGAGACACACAAGAGGGGAGACAGGGCCCAAGAGACCTTGGACTCACCTCAGCTCTGATTCTTGGCACTGCTGGGAAAATTTACCAGCTCGGATGCTTCTTTCCCTTTTCTTACCCAGAGAGACAAGCTTTCACTTGCCTGCAGAGAGACCAGCCAGATGGCCTCCAATTTTTATTTCCTTGCCTTTTTTATGGCCTCTCCAGTCTCTGCCACAGCAGGTCCTGTCCAAGCCAGTAAGTGCTCATTCTGTCCTGCTTCAGCCCACGCCCTGGAGGGAGCAAGGCCGGTACTAACGTTGGAAATTATATAGAGTTTACGTTTTTTTATAATGTAACTTTAGTCAGTTTAGTTTGCCCTGGGGGGAGGGAACTGAAGTTTCTTTTCAGGGGACTGGTTCACTAGGTGAGGTGTGATGAGCTTAACAACTTAAGGAACTGGGAGTAGCACAGAAGATAGCAAAAGAAAATGACCATTAATGACCATCAGCTCCAGACATCACCACTGGCATGCTCAGAGACACCTGGTCTGGGAAAACAGATATAAGAATGAGAACCTACCTAATTAGCATTGAAGGCAAAGAAATCCGTATCCAATAGGAAACCAGATACTAAGAACTGAGCGACTTGGGAATAAGGAACATTGAACCAATGAATTTCTGTGGGTTTTGACTGTATAAAATATGTGAAAAATCTAGTAAAGAACTGTGGCATTGAATGGTTTTCTCTGCATGACCCGGGCAATGTGTGGATGAAATGATTTCTGTTGCACATCCTGGCCAGAATAAAATAATACCTTGATTATCTAACACTAAAAACGTTGGAGAGTTGGTTTGTTGTTTTGTTTTTTTCCCCGCAGTTTCAGGGGACACTAATGACCCACTCAAGCCTCAGGCGGGTGTAGTCACTGACATCGACCGGGGATGCTTTGGGTAAGAATGGACATTTAGATGTTCAGTTTGGCCTCTGGCAGAGGGAAAGAAGCATCAGCGACTGTTATTACTGTAGATCACCGGCACGAATCCCTCCTCCTGCAGGGGCTTCTGGGGAGACCTCGACGGCAAACCAACGAGGCTGGGGGCGGCCAGTGGACACAGCAGGTTTCAGGGGTGATGCTGAAGCTGGGGCAGCGGCACAGGGCGAACAGGGTCGGTGGAGGTTCAGGGGAGCTCTGGCGACAGGGAGAGGCACCCAGCTCCTGCTCGGGGATGTGGCCACCGCCGCCCGGGCTGCAGCTTCTTCCCCGCAATCCCGGGTGGCCCGAGGCGGCTCTTCCGCGTCCACTGAGGCTCTCTGCCACCTCACCGCTTCCACCACCGGGCCCCAGTGCTCAGCACGCCGCTCCCGAGCTCACCGAGCAGCCCCGAGGGGCGCTCAGAGGCCGGGCGGCAGCGGCGGTTCAGCGGCTCGCCTGCAGCTCGTCCTTACGGCCAGTGGGTGGCAGCAAGGAGAGAACA